CAGGAGACAAGGCTCGGGTCGAAACTCCAGCACAGCGCGTCCTCTCCCGGGCCAGTCCCCACCACCTGGCGCCGGGAGAGAGCCATCCTGGGTGCAGCTGGGATCAGACTAGAGCTCCGAAGCAAGAACCTCCCATTGCACTTTGCAATGGGTGACACCTAAATATGGTCACTTCTTCAGCACTTCCGGCGACAATCTGGCCCCTTCCCCACATTCTCTGTTCTACTTTCTGGCTTGTCTCGGGGCTGAACTCCGTTATGCATGCCAAACTACGAGACAGGCGTTTTCGCTCTTAGCCCAGTTCTTATGCAAAGGCACAACAAAAGATCGACTTTCCATCGCTAATCCTGTCCACCACAGCCTTTCCCTGCCCTCCTCCTAGCGCACACACAGACACACAGACACGCGCCGCGCGCGCTGCAGTGGAGAAGACAAGCGAACGAGTCGGCCCAGGCCCCCAGAATGCCTGGTCTGACGCCAGCCCACCCAGGAAGGCCGGAAACGCGAGGCCAGAAGTGCGTTCTATGCCTGGGACAGCTCCTGGTCTGAGACAGCCCCTCCAACCACCACCCTCACCTCGCATTCTGGTACCGCCACTGCCACCTCCAGCACCGCCGCCAGTGGGAGAATTCGGCCCCGCGGACTGTTTGCGCCATCCCCGCCAGTTCTGGCAGAGGCTCTCGGCCTCCGAGATGAAAGAACAGAGAGAATCCTCCTCAAAGCGGTCCGAATCCTCGAATGAGAAGCGCTCTCCGTCTTCCCATTCCGCAAACATCAGCTCCATGGGGCCCGCACCCCCCGGAGCCGGGTCCCCCCCCACGGAGCCGGGGCCTGGGCCGCCGGCCGGGGACTGAGGGGAGGCCCGGAGCCTGAGGGGCGAGCCGGGGCTGGGGGTGGCCGGGGCACTCAGGGCGGCCGTCCCGGGCAAGGAGATCAGGCCGAGGAAATACACGAGACTGGGCCTCGCCCAACAGTGAGGTACGAACAGAGATTGTGGCCAGTCTCCGAGACTCTGGGCCCGGACGAGGCGCTCAGCGGCCGGGGCCTCTCAGCCGCAGCGGCACCGCCTCCCCCATCAGCTGATCTGAACTTCCGGCCGCGCCAGCCGCTACCACTTCCGCCCTCGCGCGCTTGGGATTCAGACTCGGTACGGGCGGATGTAGTGGACATGTTTGTTTAGTTGTAGCATTTCCTGGGTTTTTTTTCTTCTTCGAATCCACCCTGGGACTCCATGAGAGGAAGCCACCCTCCCAAAGGTATACGAAACTACTACAGATCCCAGCAGTAACTCGGCGTCCAAAATAGCCTCAAGAGATAAACAGCCGCCATGCATGCCGGGAATGGTAGGCTGTCAAGAGACAGCACCGGAACCATTGGATGCTGTTATTGTCCTAACTCCCGATAGGCCCTGTGCCGCATCACCTTCTGGGCGTTGTAGTCCAGAAAGCCTACATTCCAGAAGACCTTTGGTAGGGTGCTGTGGAGTTGATCCGACTCATAGAGACCGGCACAACGTTTCCGAGGCTGTAAATCTTTACGGGAGCAGAAAGCCTTCTTTCTCCAGCGAAAAGGCCGGTAGTTTCGAACTGTTACTTGAGGTTAGCAGCCCAAGTCGTAACCACTACGCTACACACTGCACTGAGAACCACAAGGTCAGAAGTTCAAATTCACCAGTCGCTCCACTGGAAATAGATGAGGCTTTCTGCTCCAGCAAAGTTTTAAAGTCTCAGAAATCCTGTGTCACTGAGTCAGAACCAACTCCTTGGCACTTAATAACAATTGGCAAAGTCCTGGTGTGGCATTGTAGGTTAAGTAGGATGACAATTAACCACAAGATCAGCAATTCAAATCCACCAGCCATTCCTCGGAAATTTTATATATACAGGGTCGGAAATCTTATATATACAGGGGTCGCTACAACAACAAAAGAGAAAAAGAGGACAACCCCCAACGAGCTGAATTGCCACAGGTGGCATCAGCAGTAGACTCAAGTGTAACAATTGTGAGGATGGCACAAGACCAGGTAGTGTTTTGATTTGTTGTGTATAAGGTCACTGTGAATCAACTCGAAAGCACCAAATAATTGGCGAAGCAATAGGAAAAGGCAGCTTTTGGTTTCTGAAGATGGTTGTCAGCGAGGCCTTTTGTCTTCTGGCAGTCTGATGAAGCCCATAGACTCCCTTTCTAAGATTAATATTATAAATGTTGTAGTTCGATGTCATCGAGTGGACACTTAACAACAAAATCGGTTCTGAGGCTGCATTTTTGCAAAGCAGAAAGTCTCATCTTTCTCCAGTGGAGCAGCTGATGAACTCAAATTACTGACCTTGTAGTTTGTAGTCCATTGCTTATCTTACAGATCCCCCACGCTTGTAATATTGTAAGTACACAAAATAAAAGACTTACAAAGGAAATAATTATGTTGAAAGTTAGCAAAAAGTTGGGAGGAGTACAACCAGAGTGTTCTTTAGAAACAAGGATGGTGAGACAGTCTTATCATCTTTGAACATGTTACTAGGAAGTTCTTGGAGGTAGACAGCATACTTGTAGAGTGTAAATGAAAAAGAGGAAGACCCTCAAGGATATAACATAGGTGGACATAGTGGCTGCAATAATGGCCAACTATGAAGATGGCGCAGAATTGGGCAGTTTCATTCTGTTGTACATAGGGGCACTATAAATCGGAACTGACTTTATGGCATCCAAAAACAACAGTAACTAGCAAGTGAAATTATAATAATAATTTTGAAGCTAGTGATAAAAATACATTTTATTTGAAACCAACTGTAATATATGAAAATACTGTGATTTCAGATGATGTGCCATGGAGTTGGTTCTGACTCATAGCGATCCTGCATAAGATTTCCAAGGCTGTAAATCTTTACGGGAGCAGAAAGCCTCATCTTTCTCCCATGGAACAGCTGGTAGTTTTGAATTGCTGACCTTAAGGTTAGCCCAACTCGCAACCACTTTATCAGATAGATAAGGAGCTCTGGTAGCGTAGTGGTTACGAATCGGGCTGCGAATCTTAAGGTCAGTGGTTCGAAACTACCAGCTGCTCCGCGGGAGAAAGATGAGGCTTTCTACTCCCGTAAGGATTTACACCCTTGGAAACCCTGTACAGGGTCGCTATGGGTCGGAACCGACTCGACGGCACTTAACAACAACAACAACATTGCTAATATAGAGTGTGATGGCTCCATACGATAAGCACTGGACTGAAAACCACAAGGTCTGTGGTTCAAGCCCACCAGTCGCTCCACCGGAGAAAGATGAAGCTTTCACTCCCCAAAAGATTTTAAAAGCCTCAGAAACCCTATTGTGTCCCTGAGTTGGAACCAACTGGAAGGCACTTAACAACATTGCTAATGATTGAGTTGTATGCAAGTTGAAAGACCTCTTATGGTGAGTCTATTGACCTCTGCTTAAGAGGTCAATAGTTATGGAGGTGGAACTCAGAAAAGGAGGGCAAAAATGGTTGGTTGCCCAAGAATGTAATCATTATCACTGAATTGTATATGTAGATATTGTTGAGTTGGTGTTTTGCTGTATATATGCTCAACAAAAAAAAAAAGAAAGAAAGAAAAAGTTTTTAAAGATTAAAAAAAACCACTCCTAGTATAAACTACTTGAGCACTGTGCTCTTCTGGTAACTAAAAGGTTCTGCTTACAGAACTAGGTACCACCCAGTGCTCTCTACTCATGGGATATGAGGAGCATAGAGGGGAGCCAGGGAGGCAAGGCAAGGAGCCTCCTTTATCTTAATCTATCTTGCTGGAGTGTTAACGTCTGTCCCTTTGTCCTGTGTTTTATGCTGTAAAGTTAACTCAAATATGCCTGAAAGCGCAGAGTATACCTAAAATGCTACAGAATAGTTCCTACTGTGAAAGATGAGTCCTGGTGGTACACAGGCTAAAGCACTCAGCTGCTATCCAAAGGTTGGCAGTTCGAACTTGACGATTGAAAGCTGTCGCAATCTGCTTCAATAAAGAATTTATGGAACTCTGAGGCAGTTGGAAACCCTATGAGACAGTTCTACCCTGTCCTATAGGTTTGCTGTGAGTTGGAACCAACTTGATGACAGAGGATTTAGAGTATGAAAACCAAAAAATGCATCACTGTAGCTTTTGTTTGGGCTCATAGTGACCCTGTGGGAGGGAGAAAGGAATGACTTGGTAGAGGAATGAGGGTGCTCACAAAAGTAAATGCCGTCAGTGGTCAGTGACCAGAAGGATAACGTCAGTGAGAAGTGGACTAAATGATGCAGAAGAAAACCACCAACTAATTCTCATTTCATCATTTGGAAGAGTACAGGGAATGACAAGGTGACTGGAGAGTGGGGACAAAACATAACAGACTCTACCTGATTGATGTCAGACAGGAATAAGGGACCAGTCAGTATTTTCAGATGTTTTGATTTTTTTAAGAAAAGTTAAAAGATTATTTTTTAATACAATTTTCACATTTATGAATGTGTAACATTTTAAAATGTAATTTTTACACAGTGGTGGCAAAATGAAACACATTTGTAGAAACTTCAGGTCACCAGTGTGAACTTCTGATGATTCAGGGAGAATGGTGCATGGGTTTTACAAAAAATATGCAGTCACTAAATACTTAAGATGTGATGGTAAAAAGCACTGAAACAGGCGAACTTCAACATCCCTAGTGTATCCAAAGACAAGGGCACTAATAGGTTTAAAGGAACTTCAAATACAGGAAAAGGCAAAAGTTTTTATTCTGCTCCTGCGCCAAATGAAGGAGCAGAATAAAAAGGAGTGAAGGGCTTGCAGTGTCTAGGGGAAGATGCTGGGTTCGAGTTTGGAGAGGGTATCCAAACTACAACTAAAGACCAAGTCCTCTTCAGTGGATTTTATTTCAAGTTAAATCATAACTACCACCAGACCATGATTCCAAAGAGTGAAAAAGTGTTTTGCCTATTAATACCCGGCACATAGTTCTCGGAAACTATTGTCCAGTCACTGAAAATGACTCCACTTTCAGCTGACATAAGGTTTGTTAGGAAACCTCTGTAACAGTTTGTTCAGTTTCTTGGTTGGTAATCTCCCAGACTCTCCCAGAGAATCCTGGATAGATCTCATCTTGCGGGCTGCCTGAAAACACAGAACAAATGCAAGTTAGCCCTGGTTCTCACAATGCCCCAAAGCACACAAAGTTATTAACCAACCTGAAGAGATCTGTATCGTCTCCCCAGTACCCTTTCAAAACAAGGTACTTTGGAACAATTAAATACTCTTACGTTCTGAAGGTACTGTGCCAGGCAGCAATTAAGTTTACGCTGGAAACCGAACAATCAGATAGGTTCACTACCCTTTAGTTCTATTTCAGACAATATTTTATTTGAGCATTAATTTAAATTTTACACGATGTTTTCCCATTCATTATCTTACCTGAAACTCACAAAACTCTGTAAGGTGAGTATTATTAACCTCATTTTACATGTGGTCAAATTAAAGCTCACACCAGTGAAATAAATTGCTCTAGATCACACAGCCTTCAAAACCGTGGGTGAAGAATGAGGATGAGAGGGCCTTTCCAATCACCTAGCAAGGGGCATGGAAAACCATTACTTGTATCTCCCCATTCTTCTCCCGCGAGGACAACCCCCAAAAGCTTGTGTCACCTCAGCCCTCGAAGCACAGTCGAAAAAGTCCTTGATTTCTTTTCCGCACGCTTCGTCGCGGAATTCATTCTGCTTCCAGCAAGCCATCATCACCGACATCTCCGTGATACAGGTCGCCTCTGGAGGGGCAGAAAGGCGGACCCTCAGCCCCAAGGATGCCCTTACATTCTCGCCCTCCCACGCTACGGCACCCTTTCCCCCATCGGCGTCCGCTCCGGGGCCTCCACAACTCCGAAAGCTCACCGCCTTTCTCCCGGCGCCCATCCCCGAGGCGGTTAGCGAGGACGAGGGGCTTGTTAGGCTTCAGTACAGGTTTCCGTGGGTTTCCAAGCCTCGCCAGGCGACCCCGGAGGCTGGGCGCCGCCATTGCACACCGAGCTCCCGGCAGCCTCTGCGGCTCCGTGCGTGACCCCGCGTGACCCCTACGGCTTTAGGAAGACCCCGCGCGGAGCTCTGGTAGCTCGGTTGTAGGCTGCAGCATCTTTTGCATCTCTAGGCCGCGGTGTCAGCAAAGATGGGTCGGAACTCGGGCTGGTCCAGATCGGTCACCAGGTTAGGTTGAGATTCCTTGAGGCTCCTACGCCAGCCGAGGCCACTCCATTGTGCGCTCGGGACGTGAAGCCTGGGAGCGGTATTGGTTCAAGAACTCAGGGTTTGGGTGACGGGAGTCTTGGTAGCGCAGTGGTCAAAGCGCTAGGTCTCTAAGGTAAAGGTTGGCGGCTTCCTGGGGGGAGAGAAACGTAACAGTGTGCTTCCGTAAAGATTTACAACCCTATGGGACAGTTCTACTCCATCCTATCGGATCACTTCGAAGGGGGCTTCAAAAAGTTCATGGAAAATTTTCATGATCTTTTAATTCCATTTTCTCATGAACTTTTGAAGTCCCCTCAGTATGAGTTGGTGGTAACTGGCTTCCTTGACGTAGGGGAAGGAAGATGGAGAGAATCAAAATATGAGACTTTAAGATATTAGGTTGGAGGAAGCTTTTTGTTTTGTTTAATAAACCTACCTTTGACTACCCTTAGAACCACAGCCACAAAAGAAACAGTGTTGTTAGATGCTGTGGAGTCAGTTCTAACTCATAGCTAACCCTGTACACAGCTCAGGCCTGTGTCATCCTCACAATTGTTGTGTTTGAGTGCATTGTTACAGCTACTGTATCAGTCCATCCCCTTGAGGGTCTTCCTTTTTTCCCCTGACCTCCACTTTACCAGGTATGATGATGATGTACCCTCCTGACCACTTGGCCAAAAGTATGTGAGATGAAGTCTCGCCATACTCTTTTCTAAGGAGCATTCTGCCTGTTTCTCTTCCAAGATAATGTTTTTTTTCTTCTGGCTGTCCATGCTATATGCAATATTCTTTACCAACACCTTGATTCTAATACATCAGTTCTTCCCCATTCTCCCTCATTGATCACCCAACTTTCAAAGAAACACCAGGTTTATTGATTTCATAACAACAACTACTACTAAAGACCCCTGGTAATGCCATGGTTCATACTCGGCTGCTAACCCCAAGGTTGGTGATTCCAACTCACCATCTACTCCATGGAAGAAAGATGGGGCACTCCATTTTTGTAAAGATTGGAAACCCTATGGAGCAATTCTCTGTCCTCACAGGGTCACTGTGAGTTGAAATCACAGTAGGTTTAGGTTCTGCTAGAGTCCTGGTGTGGTGCTGTGGGTTACTGTGCTGGGCTGCAAAGTCACTTTGAACTGCAAGGTCAGCACTTCAAGCTCACCAGTCGCTCCTCTAAAACCCTATCTATACAGGGTCACTATGAGTGGGAATTAACACGATAGCACTTAACAACAACATGGTTGCATAGCACAGATATATATTATGTTATTGTTAAGTGCCTTTAGTGCAAGATGGTAATATTAGGGGAGGCTGGATGAAGAGCACATGGGACTTCCCTGTATCTTTCTTGGCAATGTCCATTTGTAATGGTCTCATTGGGTAGAGTGAGGTTAACGTACTTAAGCATTCATTATCTAATCCTCTCACCAATGGATGAGATACTTGGTGGTATTATTCCATTGGTTAGACTTAGACCTTCTGTTGTGATGCGTGTCTTCACATCAAACTTGACTCAGTGATTTTGATTATTTACAAGACTCAGTCTGTAACTTGAATAAGCTTGTAGCTCAAAAGATAACTGCTTCCGAGTGTTATGTGAATGTGTAAGTTTTGTGTGTTAAAATCTACATGTTTCATATTTCCATGGCTCTTTTTCTTCCTTTAAGACTCCATTCACGTCAGAGAGGCCTTCCCTGAGTTGGTACACCGCATCATCATCAGTTATACCATCAACCCTTTTTATTCTTCACAGCACCTATCACAGTCTGACGTATCTTTTTTATTGTTTGGTTATGACCTTACCAACCCAAACATCCATTTAAAATGTAAGCCCCATGAGAGACGGGACCTTGTCTGTCTTGTTCATTAATGAATCCTCAGTGCCTAGAATAATGGCAATAAATACAGCATTCCTCATTGTTTGCAGATTCTGTATTTGCGAATCTGCTCTCTAAGATGTATTAGTAACCTGCGGTTTACTTGATACGGCTTTTCTACCCAATGTCTTAATTCCCACAAAAGAAATCACAAAAGGCAGAAAAAGAAATCAACAAGGAAGGCACAGTTAATAGCTGCCAGTTCTATCTTAGGAGTTCATGCAAATAAGGCATACAGGACTCTTAAGACTGGCATTGGTTGGCTTTTCCATCTTGCTAGGAGCCATCTTAAGCAGGAACAGAAGATCACAGGACTACTAAGAAAGAAGAGCCTGAGTGGAGCTAGGCGACGGCATGGAGAGCAAAGCAGCTGCAGTATCTAGGCCCTTGTACTGAGGCAGAGGCCAAAGAGCCACCTCACTGAGAAACCAAAGACAAGACTGAGGTGTGTGTCTGCAGTATGGCAGACAAGAAGCGTTCCTGACTGGAAAACTGCTTCATCTGAGTTGGTTTTAATCCTGGATCATATACCCTGTTCACTTCGCTAATAAACCCCGTAATTGTGAGTATTGTTATTCGTTCTGTGTGGCCATTACAATGGATTGTCATACCCAGATGTGGAGCAGAGAGTGCTGTGGGTGGGGTGGTTGGTGTCAGAATAGGGTAAAGAAGGTTGTAGACTGGAAGCACGTCTGACCTCCACTTCATAGGAATTGGCCTTGGGCTGATTTTGAGTTTGATTCTCTTTCCTCCTTGTGAAGTCAAGGAAAGTCAGACATGGTTTCCACATGGTTTTTGTTGTTGTTAGGTGCCATCGAGCGGTACCGACCCATAGTGACCTTATGCACAACAGAATGAAATACTGCCAGGTCCTAGGCTAACTTCACAATTGTTGATACACTTGAGCTCATTGATGCTGCCACTTTGTCAATCCATCTTGCTGGGGATCTTCCCCTTTTTCTCTGACCCTCCACCTTACCAAACATGATATCCCTCTCCAGTGACTGGTCCCTCCTGACAATATGTGTGAAATATGAGAGACGAAGTCTGGCCATTCTGGTCTCCAAGGAGCACTCTGGCTGCACTTCTTCCAACACAGATCGGTTTGTTCTTTTGGCAGCCCATAGCACTTTCAATATTCTCCTCCAACACCATAACTCCAAAGCATCAGTTCTTCTACGATCTTCCTTATTCACTGTCCAACTTTCACATGCACATGAGGTTATTGAAAATAATGGCTTGGGTCAGGCGTACCTTAGTCCTCAAGCTGACATCTTTGCTCTTCAACACTTTAAAAAGGTCTTCTGTAGCAGACTTGCCTAGTGTGTCATTTCTTGACTGCTGCTTCCATGAGTGTTGATGGTTGATCCAAGAAAAATGACGTTTTTGACAAGTCCAATGGTGGGAATTTTTCTTTACATTGAGATGCAAGCCATACTGAGGCTATAGTCTTTGATCTTCATCAATAAGTATTTTAAGTCCACTTCACTTTCAGCAAGCAAAGTTGTATCATCTGCATATCGCAGGATAGTTAATGAGTCTTCCTCCAATCCTGATGCCACGTTTTTCTTTATAGAACCCAGCTTCTCGGATTATTTACTCAGCATATAGGTTGAATAAGTATGGTGAAAGAATACAACCCTGTCACAAACCTTTCCTAATGGTTTTTGCATAACTCTAAAATCAAATGGCACTCTAATGGTCATTCTCAGGCACATTGTAGAAAAATTGGAGTTGGCCACCTCTTTGCCTTCTTACTTAAGCACTCATGCTATAAACAAATGTCCTTTTCATGGTCTATTTAGCAGCAGTTGTTTTTGCATTTTTGTTGGTGATTTCGCTGTTTAAAATGGCCCCCAGTAGTAGTACTGAAGTGCTGTCTAGTGTTCATAAGCACATTGAAGCTGTGATTGGCTGCTAGGGTAGGAATACATGTGTTAGATGTATTGTATTCAGTTAAATGATGCTGGTCATGAGTTCTGTGTTCATGAATCAGCAATGTGGTGGTGATGATGTGCCGTGGAGTTGGTTCCGACTCAGCGACCCTGCATAAGGTTTTTGGGGCTGTAAATCTTTATTGGAGCTGAAAGCCTCATCTTTCTTCCAGGGAACCACTGATATTTTTGGACTGCTGACCTTGAGATTAGCAGCCTGATTCGTAACCACAGCACTACCAGAGCTCCTTGAATTAGCAATATTGGGTATCAAAAAGCAAGAGGAAATTTACCCATCTGTACGTGAGATGGCTCCAGAAAGTACTAAAGTAACATCTGTAGTGAGTGGTTAAGTTGTGGATTTGGGAGATGGCAGCCAGTTTAAAAACAACAAAAAAGGCATAGTGGCCAGCATTGTGAGGCTGAATGCCAAAAAAGTTTTGTCACATGACCCATGATCAGGAACATGTTAAACCTTTCTTGGCTAGCACACGCTGGCTCACATGTTTCAATATGCAGTACAGCATGAAAAATGTTAAACATGCAAGCAAGATAGGTTTTGCACATCAGGAGGTTACAGAATTTAAGGTAAAAGCCTTCAACAGCATGAAGGACATTTTGACTGAGAAAGCAGTAGAACCTACAAATGAAGGCCTTGCCGAGGTGGCAAAACAAGGCATCAGAGTCAACAATACTTATGATAGCAATGAAAATCAATCTGACTCCAAGAATTGTCCTTCTCACAGCTGCTAAAATAGACTAGAATTCTGGCTTTAAAAACAATTTCACACAGCCTCAAATTTAAGCACCTAACCTCCACTGCATTCGCACCTTGTACTGAGTTGCCTAAAGATTTGAAAGGAAAAAAGCCAAGAAGACACGGCTAATGCAGTTTTTCAAGCCAGCTGAGCAGGGAACATTGCCAGTACCATCAACAAGTCGCAAGAGCCACACTCTTTCTAAATAACTGGTAGCCTTCCTTGTTGATGTCTTTATCTTCTGCAGAATAAGTTCCACCAACCTGCTTTCTTGGTTTTTGTGGGGACAAGCCAAGGTCAGAGGTTTAACAACAATCCTGTAAGATTTTAGTTAATGCTTTATAAAACTTTAAATGCTTACTCTTTAACAGTTTGTTTTTTTTAAAAAAACAGGATTTTATTTGCACTCACCAACTGCTCCTCTGAAACCCTTTACAGGGTCGCTGAGTCGGAACTGACTCGACAGCACCTAACAACTGTACAGTATATGTATGTTCACAGTACTGTTTACTGTGAGTACTGCATTATGTGTATTATGTATATGACTGCGTGGAAGATGTAAAACACAATCACAATAGAGTACTACACATAATTCTATAATTCAATACTGTTTTATCATAAATCAATGCTATATATAATTATTAGAAGACATATGTCTTAAACAAAATGTCTTTAAACAGAAACACACAAAATAAGGTTACACATGTATTGATCAGTTGAAAAAAATGTGACCACTGGCTTGCGGGAACCTAATCCTGTATTTCTGCTGAAGCAATGGTTTTGTTGTTGTTATGTGCTGTGGAGTAGGCTCCAACTCATAGCGACCCTGTACAGGGTTTCCGAGGCTGTAAATCTTTATAGGAGCAGAAAGCCTCATCTTTCTCCCGCAGAACAGCTGGTAGTTTCAAACTGCTGACCATGAGATTAGCAGCCCGATTCGTAACCAGAGCTCCTTGGAGCAATGGTTTAGCACTTGCTAATTCACTGTTCATGGCAACTTTACATAACTACCATGAGTAATGAGAATCAACTATACATTTTTCCCCCACGTTTTTCCCCCACCATTCTTAACATAAGCTTAGTTGCACAACCAAACATGACTCTTGGTAACCATTAATAGACTTCAGTCTCCATACATTTGCCTATTGTAGATCTTTTCTAGTTTGTTTGGTTTTTAACTGTCTTCCCCATCACCTAAGTTAACGTGTTTCTATCCTATAGCCACTGAATAATTCTCCCTTCCCTCCCATTCCTGGTCACTATCATAGAATGTTATTTTTAGTATGAAAACCTCTTGACTTTTTACAAAAGTGGTCTCATACCAATAGTTGTGCTTTTGTGATTGACTTAACTTCACTCAGAAACTGTCGTGTAGGATCATCGTAGGTCCTTGAACCACAAGGTTGGCAGTTCAAACCCATTAGCTGCTCCTCAGAAACCCTATACAGGGTCGCTGTGTTGGAACCGACTCGACAGCACGTAACAACACTCAGTATAATGTCTTCTAGGTTCATCCATGTTAGGAAGTGTTTCACAGGCTCATCATTATCCTTCAGCATTGCCTAGTATTCCATTGTATGTATGTAGCAAGTTTGTGTAACCATTCTTCTGTTGACGGGCATTTAGGCTTTCTCCATTTTTTGCTATTGTGAATAGTGCTTCAATGAACATAGGTGTGCAAGTGTCTATTGGTGTCAGTGCTCTTATTCTTGATACAGTCCCACCAGCAGTGTAGAAGGAAGGATCCCAGACTCTCCATATTCTTGACAGCATTTATTGTTTTCTGAACTTTGCGATTAGTGCTGGGGTAAGATGCTATCTCATTGTTGTTTTCATCTGCATGTCTCTAATGGGCCCTGGTGTGGCTCTGTAGGTTAAGCACTGGACTAGTAACCATAAGGTCGACAGTTCAAACACACTAGCTGCTCTTGGAGACCCTGTACAGGGTTGCGATGAGTTGGAAGCAACTTTACAGCACACAACAGCAATAGCTAATGATTGTGAGCATTTCTTCATGTTTGTTGACCGTCTGAAAGTCTTTGGTGAAGTGAGAATCAACTTGTTGAATGAACAAGTGTTTGAAATACTCCCAACAAGTACTCAGTTCTTTATCATGCTACCTCAGAAAAATCACAAAACAGGACACTGTTGAAAAAGAAGTAATTTATTATGCAAGATGAAACCTGAGATAATATAATAGAAAAGAGCAACATTTATTGTATTAAAGGCATCAGTCCTGCCTCTAGCAGGGTAAATAAAACTCCGATCAGATCATTTCTAATACCAATAACCCCAATCTTACAATACGCTGCTACTGTGTAACTATAGGCTAGGGCCCATAGAAAATTCACAATGCCTACTTTTTCTGATAACATAATGGTTATGAGTCGGGCTGCTAACCTCAAGGACACAATTCAAAACCATCAGCAGTTCCACAAGAGAAAGATGAGGCTTTCTGCTCCCGTAAAGATCTCTAACCTAGGAAATCCTATACAGGGTCACTATGAGTCGAAACCGACTTCACAGCATATAACCAACCAACCTTCTCCATAGGGAAAGTGAAACCTTTAGTTAATAAATACCATGTGACTATTCTTGGTTCTACTTTTCATTGGGGGAAGGGAAGCACCTGGTTTACCCTGTTCTTTTGTGAACACTCATTTGGTGTTCTGTATAAAAGAGAAAGTCTGGGAAATACTGGCCATAAAGCAGGCCTGAGTCTATACCCACATCATTCATAAACTGCCAACTCTCTGGGTACATTTAAAGTGCTAAACAAATGCCGATGTGAGTTAGTGTCATTAAGACATAAGGAAGACTCTTTACCTTGCAGAACTCTCACTGTGCTTTTAATTGCATATAAGGAAATCTGAGTCCTATCTTAGGTTTGCACTTGTGTAATCGATTTTTTTATACTGTAAATCAGAGTCTGCTTTTAAATAATACTGTAAGCTTAGAAATCAGAGTCCTGCTTTCCATGGTGTTATGGACATTTACTATGAAAGAAAAATGAGAAAAAAATAACCTTGATAGTGAAATCTAGCCCAAATTACAGCTTTCCTTGGTGCTCAAATCCTTAGACAACATTGAGTGTGGCCCCTAACTGTTGAGGCCTCTAATTCACATATACACAACGAGTAATTTTACAACCAAATGTATTGCTTCATTATGGAACTTCTATAGTAATAATAAAGCATTAAGACCAGAGTAGCTCCAAGGCCCAATGTATTCCTTTTTGTGCCACTGCCTCCAAGGAAAAAAACAATGGTTTCTCTACTCAGAAGTTAGGCTATATGTTCAAACCACAGCAGTTGAGTAGAATTGGCCACCATCTCTAAAAGTTACCAGCCACTTGTGCCTTAAATCTCTTACCTTGCCTCCTCACCTCTTGAGCTTAGGGCCATGGGTGGGCTACATCAGTCTCAGTGGCTTCCATAAAGTTATATAGGAGAGTATCAGTAATACAATGATTGGAGCTGGAATAGTCATTGAAAGTGAAAAGAATATGAGATGATTAAGCAACTAAAATCCAAACCCATTGCCGATGAATTGATTGCACTCAGAACTGCCCCACAGGGTTTCCAAGGGTGTAAGCCAACTGCCACATGTTTCTCCAGTGGACCCACCAACCTTCCAGTTAGCAGCCAAGCAGTTAACCCGTGTACCTCGAGAACTCTTACGAGACGATTAAACCCAAAACAAAAAACCCACTGCTGCTAATTCTGATGCAGCAAGCCTGACCAGTTTTTTTCCACTATAGTTTCCTTGATTCTCATTGTGCAAAGGAGGGAATAGGTCTTTGTAGCAAATAAAAATAGTAAAATAGAAGACAGAGTTAATTCAGCAGACAGAAAAGGTCAAAGACCTATAAAAATGTGTACTTTGACTCTTATCAGCCTGTTTTAATACTTTTTATACATAAGACTTTAAAAACATATACATAAGACTTTTTTCACAAGCCTGAAGGCTAGAAATTATAGTGGAAAAATCTTACAAAAGTGTTGAAATAGGCTGATACATATCAAAGAACTCTCATGTGAAACTAGGTTAAGCACCAGACTGGTAACTGCAAGGTTTGCAGTTCAAACCCACCACCCATTCTTGGAAACACTAATCAGGGTCACTGGTGAATTTAAACTTGCTCGACAGCATACATAACAACAAACATCAACTACCTGAAATTCTAAAATAGAGCAGGGCTAGTCATTAAATTAACAGGGCACAGAATTAGCCACTGAATCTTTGTTTCAGGAGATGGAAAGGAATTCCAGATATTCCCAGATGAGAAAGTAGAAGTAAGAAAAGCTGCCAAATCCGTAGGCAATTTAATGAAGGGAAGAATGAATGCGGAAGGATTACAGAAAATCAGAAATTGTAGGAAAGGACCTAAAACCAGGAAGGAAAAAGTCACCTAAAATAAAAATTTGAAGTGAAAGGCAAAGTAAATTACATAAAAATAGAACCCTAGAGGACCAGAATATAACCAGCAGAAATTTTGGCTTCCCCACTAACATAGCAGGACACTAACATAAGGAGTACTGTCTGGGTAATAGAACAGGAAAAGTTCTAAGACCTTACATTTGACTCATTTGACCTCACTGGTAGTTAAGTACTAAGGTATGTTTCAGTCACAATTGAGAGGTGAAATGGCTACAGAAGTGAGTACTCTGAGAATTCTGCAGCACCTTGAGTCAGTAGGTACTTCAGACTTCTGTTTCCCATTGAACCAAGAATTTTACCTGTCCTTGAAGAGGCCACATTACCACAGGCTAAAGCTTTGGCCGCACATCATTAGGATAAAATATCAGGGAATAGAATGGAATTTCTTGAACCCATGATAACAGAGTGTTCATTAAGGGTTTGAGCAGTGACTGTCTCATGTCCCATGGTAGAATAAGGACGTCTCCTCTCCTCAACTTTACGACGTTAAAGGTGAATTAGAGGTTCTGATTCCTTTTCATGAAGGTCTCATGTAGGTAATCCCAAAATTTCTTCTGCTGTGTTTCATTGTTGTGGATCATAGCAGTGAGGGCTTCTCCCTGGTCCAGACCTTGCCAATAATCCTGCAGCCACATCTCCTTCCAGCTGAAACACCAAACTTATGTTACATGAGAGAACCTTAGCACAGCTTATAAATCCTACCTTTCTGAGTTGGCCAAACAATCTTATGCAGATACAGTGGTCTCTGGCTAGAATTGGATTCGGCTGCGAAAGGAAGTTTGTGAAGTAAATCTAGTACTAGCACAGAAAGACAGGAAGTAGGCACAACACAAACACATCATACAGCCCACCCAGTGACCCGATATTCCTGACTTGCCTTCTAGTTTTCAACTGTGGTGGAGAGACTTCTGAGGTAGTGGGGGCAGAGGCCAAATCATCAAAGCAGTAGTGGCCCTGTGAGAGCCGTGGAACAGGGCTTTTGATAGATGGTATCTTTTAAGTTGCACCTTTATTCCAATAATTAATATGAGGGTGCAGTGGTACTTACGTGTCTTGAAAAGACTATACCTGAATACTTTTTAAAGGCCCTTGTTTCACACTTTTCTCCTAGTAAATCATAATAACATACTCAGCATAAATTAGACAGAAAAAACTTGATGGAACATTCTGCCACCAGCACCAAACTATGCTGCCAACAGCATTTATATGAGGATCAGTCAAATAGTATTGGTACAAAATCACAGAAACCATTCGACAAAATCACCAAAATGCAAGCTGACATAGTCTCCATCTAGGTCTATACACTTCTGAAGGCAATCTAATCATTCCTCAAAGAATTCTACTTTAAATTAATACCATGCCAAAACTGCATTTTGGACATTCTCAAGGAACTCAAATCATGTTCCTTTGAAATGTTGTTTAAATTTTGGAACACAAGTCTAAAAGGCAAGAAAAGGGCTGTAGGGTGAACGAGGTAGTTTCCCAACAAAATTCTCATAGGACAGCAGCCCTTGTTACCCTCAAAGAATAAGCAAGTGCATTCTGATGGAACAAACTCTTTGGTGCCAACTTTCTTGCCATTTTCTCACCAAAGTAGTTATCCGTTTTCTTAAAACTTCTTCCTAATAAAAGCCCCTGTGAGTCATCCTGTGGCTTTTGAGAAAATCTACCAAGATCACCTTTGGGATGCTCTAAACCAGTCACAATAACTGGAGCTGATCTTTGTGTGGTGAATTTAACTGGCCCAGCAGATCCCCTCGGAAGTCACTGTTTTGATTAGATCTTGCTCTCTGAATCATATTGGTAAATCCAAGACATGTTCCCCTTTATGATTCGTTCTATAAAATCATCTTCATTTGCTTCAATCTAGCTTTTAAAACTGATGGAAAGATCATTTCTTTGGCACTCATCAAGCTTTCAAGCTGAAAGCTTGCTAAGGCCAAGATGTTCACTTAAAATTGAAAATGCTCAACTATGAGATCCTGACACAAATGGCAATTCTACAGTCTTCACTAGATTCTGGACTCCAGCCTGTTTCAAGGATTGATGGTCTTGGCTTATCTTTGAGGTTCTCCCAACCTTTCTTAAAATGCTTGATCCATCTAAAAATTGTTTAAAGTGGGGTGGTTGCTTATAAATTTATTACAAAATTTCAGTGATCCAGGAAGCTGTCCACTGGAACTTTGTAAAAAATTTAAAATTAGCCCTGACCTCAAAATGAGTTTTTTCCATGGCACAAAAAATCCTTTTTTTTTTTTTAAAGGCACCTAATGAGAACTTGTTTGCAGCTATCCACTAAAGACCTGTTTAAACAAGTTTTGTTTAGAATAAATTAAATTTGCACATGTATGAACTGGAACCCAAGTAGCTATACTTTATGACTTACCCTCGTATAAGCAACCCTCTGCTGCCACTGACTGCCCAATTCACTCTCAAGGGCTATTGCTGTTGTTGTTAAGTGCCATTTGGTCGGTTCTGATCCATAATGACCCTATAGAGGGTTTCCAAGAGCGCCTGGTGAGCTTGAACCACCAACCTTGCAGTTCAAACCAACTTTGCAGTCTAGCGCATTAACCCACAGTGCCGAGGCTATTCTAGCGTCTCTTTTTCTCAAACGTATAATCTCTCCTCCAACAGGCATGGTCTGCTGCAAGTGCTTCAACGAGTCCCTAACCCACTTCCAAGGCTGGCTTTGTTTTCTAAGGTCACCACCTCCTCACTTCTCTTCCAATCTTTACTGCCCACCATAGTGGAATAAATCTTTTGAAAAAACCTCCTTTGATTCTGTCTAAAGTGAACATATACTTTATGATACAGACCAGGCACTTTTAAGAGTGAAAGAAAATGCTATCAATAATAATGCCAGATGAACATGTGTAAACTCAGGTAAATAAATATCCCTCGAAATACTGGTTTTTTTACCTTGTCCCCACACTCAACCCCACTATGCACCGACTTTCAGGACTAGCTTGGGCCTAGTTTTTCTGCCCAACTTTGTCCCTCTCACATTACTTCCATGTGGAGACCCTCTGCTCTGATCTACAAATAAGCCTTTTTTGAACTACTATGGCAAAAGCTAAGGAACCCTGGTAGGGTGTAGTGGGTTACAAACAAGGTCAGCAGTTTGATTTTATCAGCCGCTTTACAGGAGAAAGATGAGGCTTTCTGCTCCCATAAAGATTTATAGCCTCAGAAACCCTAGACAGGGTCCCTATGAGTTGGAACTGACTCAACAGCACAGTATCACCACCACCTTGGCATAAGCTGATTTTCATATGTTGTTGCTCTGAATTAGTACTACTTTAATACTTTGCTGAGCTTTTTCAGTTGGTCCTTTCTCCCTAGCTAGGCTCTTGACCCCTTAGGGACAGTGACGCCATGTCATCAGTTCCTTACACATTATCCCTTTGGTGCCTATGCTAGCTAGCTCAATGCCCACAGTAAGAGCTCCCCTAGGTAATCTGAGCTAACGACTGCAGGGGCCGCGGACAGCCCTTACCTGTCATTCTCGGGAATGTCTTCCACGTTGCCAAAACCAGGTGTGGGCACCGGACAGTCCATGTGTGAGGGCTGGGCAATGTGAGGCTCCGGCGCAGGGCTGTCCCCAGGCGAGGCTGCGTGGGCTTTCTCAGCATCCAGCCGAGCCAGCTCATGGTCACAGACGAAGCACTCGAAGCCGTTGAGGTAGTTGGGCAGTAAAGGGTCGTTCACTCCCCACTCTCGTCGCCTCAGACTCTCCAGAAGGAATTGGTTGGTGATGCCCCCAGGCTGCTTGTATGCCAGATATTTCATATACTCTTCATCATTCTTGTCCAGAAAGTCAATAAACTCTGCCAGTTTGTGAGGTGACTCAAAGTCATCAATAAGGATGATGGAGTGATTGTTGGGCATCCAGTCCCTCACAGAGGGAGAACCGCGGTACACAGGCACAGCCCCCAGATGCATGGGGCGCCAGAGCTTTTCTGTCATGTAGTCGTCACATATGGCATTTTCGAGAGCCAAGTGGAACTTATAACGGGACAAGAAGGCCAAGAGCTCTGGATCCTCCGTGGTAGCTGTGGTTGTGTCTTGTAGCCTTGGGGTGGGCAGCTCCCGGTTTTGCAGGCATTTCCCATAGGAGTCCACCTGGGTGGGGTAGAGGGTACGTACGGCCTGTCAGAGTGGACACCACACTCCAGAAGTCAGCCCCGCGCCCCTATCCCTCTCAGCCCCTCGGCCCTCACCCACCGGGATGTAGCGCATGAGCTCGCGCACGTAGCGGTCCCGGTCGGCGGGCACGTCGCAGTGGGACTGCAGGTAGAGCAGCGGCGCGTAACCGCGGCGGCGCCACTCAGCGCGCTCCTGGAGCGGGGTGGCAGCGCGGCGCAGATAGGCGGTACCGGGCAGCCACTGCAGCGGCAATGGGTAGTCCGAGTGGCGGCTGAAGGTAGCGGTAAGATTGAAGAGGCGGATGCCAGGCGTGTGGCTCAGCAAGAAGTTGTTGAGTGGCGATTCCTCGTGCAGGAGCGCCCAGCTTTGGTGCACCAAGCGTGGCAGCGGGGCATCAGACGCGCGGAAGTCGGTACCATAGAAGAGCAGTGCGCGCGTCCGAGGATCCCCTCGGAGCCGTCGGTCCCGGGAGGCTACGCACGCGCCGCGCGCACACTCGATGCGCTCCGAGTCTCCCGGGAAGTGGGGAAACAGCCCGGGGCTCCACCACAGCAGCACAGGTAAGTCCTTCCCTGGCCGCTGGCTCCCCCGACTCTGCGCCACCCCCACCGTGCCCAGGGCCGAGGGTGACCGGAAAACAGCCCCGTCCCATGGCTCGTCCCACGGCTCCACCCACTCCGCTTCCCCGCCAGCCTCCACATCCGCCATGGGTCCAGAGCCGCTAGCCGAAAGGACACTAAGCACCCCGATGGTGGCAAGCATAGCCCCCGTGTGGCCGGCAGCCATGTCCACTCCGGTAGCCAGCGAACCTTAGCATAAGTCCCCGCCCCGCCAGAGCCACTGCTGGAGGAGATCCTATGCCACAAGGCCCATGACGCATGCGCAACTCTGTTCAGCAGGTCACTTCCCAGGAGCAGCAAGGCCTGACAAGAGGGACTGGAGGGAAATCGAGCCCGCGCCGAAGTAAAGACAAAGCTACTGGTTACATCTTAATTTATTTTATTTCTTTACAAATTAAAGATGCATTGAAAAATAAACCAATGAAGAGAAATGAGAGGTCCAGAGCAGGGACATCCCAGGCTGGGAGGAGACAAGTCCAGCCACCTCCAGCCTAGCCTTTGTCTTGCTCCAGCCAGTTGGGATTGGAAGATAACTGTCAGCCACTCTGTCAAAACCATATCCGGGTGGTGTCCAAGCAGGACAGAACAGAGCTCCAGAAGCCTCTGCCTCTCTCCCCAGCAGCCCCCAGCTTGGAGAGGCAGTGAATGTTTCCAGTGGGTGCTCAGAGGAATGTGGGCTGGCTCTGTGAGGTATTGCAAATTGATGACCAGGCTCCTTACAGAACCATCCAGTGTTGGGACCTCTCCAAGGTCTTACATACTTTCCTGATGAGTTCCCAGGCTCATTCACCTCTGCCAGTACCACGGAGTGATCACCAGTCATTGCAGAAGAGAGAAAGCGCAGTGGAAGCACAGAGAGAAAGCTAATCAACCCTCAGTTCCTCTGACTGGGCTGCTGACCTCCAGGACCAGTACAAATGGTCACTTTTCTCTCTCCACCTATGGTCTGTACCCTAGCTCTTGTGCACCTGTATATTTTAATCCCTAATATAGGAAGATGCTGATGACACAGAGCTGAATTTGCTTCACCTGTAGTAACCCTGGGATCCCTATTTCCTACCTGCCCCTTTCCTCTTGTAGGCTGGTCCAAAGGGACATATACATTGCCAAGGTCTGGGAACCTCCAAACCCCCAACACCGAATCATATAGTTAACTGAGAAACTACATTCATTACGACAGGATTAGCAGGAAAAGGAGAGTGGAGGGAGGGGGTGTAGGCACCTCCTAGCAGCAGGACATGACAGAGTGGTAGGATACTTGAGCCCAAAAAGAAGGTGTCTCCTTATACCTCCCCCTTCCCCCACTGAAGTGGCTTCAGCTTACATGACTTTTAAGATATGGAACTGTCGTCTGGAGTACTTTCTGGAAGCTGGCCTGGGACTCTATGCCATTTACCCACTTGATCTAGCTCAGCAGCTGCCGAATCTCCTTGTGCATGTGACAGAGAAAGTCCACATAGGATGCTCCCCCACTCAGGCTCTTGTCTTCCACCAGGAAGTGCTTGAACAGCATCTCCAGCTTGTCTTCCTGTTTCACCACGATCAGCTACGGCCAGAATGTGGGGTCAGAGGCAGGGCCATTCATTACCCAGTCACTCACTCCTCCAACCCCTTCCAGCTGAGGATCTGACAAGAAAGCCAGGGTTGAGGACCAGTGTTACCTTCATGTATCGTGATCTCTGCGCCCGCAAGCTATCAATGAGGCCTCGCACCTTCTTGGACAGTGGATTATCCAGAACTGGCAGAACACTCTGGAATATAAAAGTCACTTACCCTTGAGTAAGGTACTCTAGAGTCTGGTTAAGATGAGGCAGCAGATATTTTAAGCAGCAGATATTTATGTCACCTATGGGAATTTAGCACCCTCCTTGCCTCTAAGTGTTCTCTAGGTTAATTCACTGATATGTACATGGACTAACAGGCTGGTTTTAGTGGCTCCCATTCACATCAAAACATGCCCTTCCAGACCCATACTCTCTTTTGACTCCTTGCACTTACCAAGCCACTTGTGATATGACTGAAGGAGGAGACATTGAAGAGGCTCTGGACAACACCCTGCTGGACACTTGCTCCCACCCAGAGGAAAAGGTTGAGCCCATTCTCCAGCAAATAAATATCCCCATTGCTCAGACGCTCTTCAGACGCTCGAACTGCTGGCGGTTCAGTGGTATTCTCAATGGGAGACTTTGTCTAGACAAAAGAAATGGGGCAAAGAGTTACTAAGGACCATAAAACAAGTCCACCCAGAGCAAAAAAAAAATGTTTCTCCAGAGAACAAAAGTTCCTAGAGACCCCTCCTTCTGGGGTCTCGGTATGAGAATGTATGTCCATCCCCTCTTCCTCCTCCTACGGTGCCCCTTTCTCATGCAGTGTCTCACACTACAACTGTCAATCGCACCAACGGGAGAAGCCGAGGGTAGAAGAAGACATTGGTCTCAGCCACATCCATGGAGGTAACCAGCTGTCGGACATAGGCACGGTCATCAGTGGTGACCTCGGCTCCAGGCTGCAGGACATCGCTCTTCAACACACAGTTCAGGTAAACTGGCAAGAGCTTCATGCACTCAGGAAGGATCAACTGAGAAATGGATAAAAACAGTCGACTATGAGAAATCCTTCCCATATGCAAAATTGCCCCAACAGCCCTTCCTCCAGCAAGCTCGCCCCACCTGTCCTGCAGAGGATGGGCTGGCACAGTTCTTTCGGTAACAGGCCAGAATCTGGGCACACTGGGTGATGAGTGTGTCCCGAACAGTTTTCACAGGGCTGTTCAGCACTCCCCGGTATGCTGCATGGAAAGGGGAGATGGCACTGGTAAGCTTCCCACACCTACTCAGGAATGCTGAATTGTTGACTCAACCCAATCCCAGTCTGTCTCTCCCTCACCAAACTTGGCCATGTAGTTGATGAGTGTGTCAGTCTCACAGTTTCTATACAGGTCAGCCAGCTGGGTGCAGCAGTTCAGGGCCAGATTGTGGATGCGGAGCCGACGCTGCCCTGCACAGCTGGTGTAGAGCAGGGCACACTAGGGGAAGGGAGATAGGGGAGACTCCGAAAAACTGCTTCTTTGTTGAACGACTATACTGTCAGAGTAATCTACACATGAGCCCACCCTTCCCCAGCCTCTTCTTCCAGATCTCTCTAGCCACCCCTCACCCTCTGAAGCTAGTTATAATCAGCAATGACACTCAGCACTTTGGCCCTGGCCCTGCAGCACGCCTGCCACCTGTAGGAGGGCTCCGCTCTCCTCATTAAGCCGGTCATCATGCTTGAACTCCACAGTCACCGTCTTGTCCACATCCAGCCCAGCCAGCTCCACATCTGTGGTGTTGCTCATGTAGAAAGCCCCAAAGAAATCTACAGCACGGATACCTGAGGCCACACAGACAGGGTCAAGGCTAAAGGTATGACAGGCACCTTGTGCCTCCCTCCCAGATTTAGCCCCCAACTACTCATCTCCAAGCAGGACTGACCAGTGCTTGTCCGGACCCGCATCACAGCATCAAAGCCAACAACCTTCTGCACATCCCGACACAGATCACTTAGGAACCGTTCCTGGTCATTCTCCACCTGCAGGCCCCCAGGCCCAAAGTCAAGTCACGTCACATCACGACGCAGTGTCTCTGCACCCCCACCACCTCTACAAGCTTGCTCGGTGGTAATGACAGAAACACTGAAGGTGATAATGTTGACGACAGCTTCCACGTTCTGAGTAGGAGCAGGTATCACACTGAGTGCTTTACAGTATCTTACTGAATTCTGATGGCTACTCCTATTAAATGGTATTCACACTTCACTTTACAGATACAGAAATCAAAGAGAGAATGCAGTAATTTTTCTAGGTCTTATCACTAGAAAATTAGAAACAACACCATACTGCTAGAATATCAACCAGGAGGGATTCCAAGTCCTATGCTCTTAACCACTACACTCTCAAGGTTCTCTGATTCATATGATGTAGTCTTCTCCTCAGAGACTATTCCTCGGGGCCACTCCACATATGTAGGCATTGCCAGCTCTGTTGCCACCTGCCACCCAGAGTCCCATGCCATACCTGAAAGCAAGCATACTTGTAGACAGAACCACCAGTGAGCTGGGGCACCACAGAGAGCGTGGCCACATCCACATACTGATTAGGGAAGAGGAAAAGGGCCACACAGCAGCCTTGGGCCACACACTCTTTGGCTAAGGTCTGATAGGCACCAGTCTGAGCCTGGAACAGGGTCTTAGAGAAACAGGAGAAAATGTTCAAAAATCTTAGCTTCACTCTATCTGAAAATACCATTGTCCCTCAGGACCTGAGGGGTACTGGTTACTGACACCCCCCCTCCCCCCCATACCAACATCCACAGATGTTCAAATCCCTTATATAAAATGACATAGTATTTGCATGTAACCTATGCATATCCTTCCATATACTTTAAATGACGTCTATACTTTAATAAGGAGCTCTGGTAGCGTAGTAGTTACAAATCGGGCTGTGAACCTCAAGGTCAGCAGTTCAAAACTACCAGTTGTTCCGCGAGATAAAGATGAGGCTTTCTGCTCCTGTAAAGATTTGCAGCCTCGGAAACACTGTGCAGAGTCATTATGAGTCGGAACTGACTCCACGGTACTTAACAACATACTTTAATAATACCTAATACAAATGCTATGTAAACAGCATTTTAAGTTCCCTCCAAACCTTTGAGGGATTGCTTTACACACTTAAGTGCTTTTTCCCAAAATCTGTGGATATGAAACCAGCAGACATGAGGAGGGTCAACAGAATATAATACAGAACATTCAAACACTTATAAGAATTCAGCCCTGAAGATCAAATGGTTTACCAAGGGCTTTGGGGAGAAGATAGGCTAGAGAGGTGTGGGAGCAGTGAAGAAGGTTGGGAGTCACAGATGTGACATGTGAAATGACAAGGTGTCTATGAAGAACTATCACCTTCCTCCAATGGCTCTGTCCTCCTTTTCCAATCTCATACCTTCTCTTTGTCTGTGTTGATCAACTTCCTGTCGTCCCTGTTCTTCAGTTTTCCTGGTGCCTCTGCAATGGGCAGGGACGTGTGGAACAGAAACAGCTTCCCTGCACATTCTGCGGCCTAGAAATGATAGGCAACTACTTGGTCATTCTTTCCTTTGACCCAACCCATTACTGTTGAACTGATTCCTACAAGACAGAGTCACATTGCCCCACAGAATTTCCAAGGATGTAATGTAATCTTTATGGAAGCAGACTGCCACATCTTTCTCTTGAGGAGGTGCTGGGTGGGTTCAAACCACCAACCTTTCAGTTAACAGTCAAGGACTAGGCCAGCAGGGAGCCTGTGCTTTCCTTGATTCCCTTATTCATCCATCTTTTCCCTCTTAATTTATCCAGAGCCAACTATGTCACAAGACTGACTCACTGGAGAAATGGGGCCTGTATCCCAGTGTGAAAGGTGGTCTGAGGGAAGCGAGACCACAGGCGACTCCAGCCTTACCTTCAGAGCCTCCATTCCAGCCTGGATAACTGGAGCAAATACTGTCTCAGTCTCCCTTGTGTCTGCAAACATTTCTGGAATCTGATCCAATAAACTGAAGAGATACGTATTGGGAGGCAATCAGAATTCCTGTCCAGATCCCTCACTTTTCAATTCCCTGAAGAGTTAGTTGCTTGACCCTAACTGAAAACTCCCACACCTCAGCTCCTGTCGACCCTGTCTTCACCTCCTTAGCCTCCTATGGTTGTACCCACACCACCTCCTCTTTACCCCAGCTCTTACCTGGTAATGACTGTCCGGGACTCACTGACATTGACCAGAAAGCCATCTAGCAGTGGCACAAACATGTCAGCCACATCAGATACAACCATCATCTGTGGCTGGGCCAGTGAGCTCTTCACATTGTAGAAGTGGAGCACCTTATTATAGGTGACAAACCCAACACGGATTGCAGATTCTTCTGCTCCGCCCTCCCTGTAAAGGTGACAGAGTTACCCAGTCTTGCCACTTTTTCCAGTACCCCCAGTGTTATAAAAGAGCTCTGGTAGCGTACTGGTTATGAATCAGGTTGCTAACCTCAAGGTCGGCAGTTCATAACTACCAACTGTTCTGGTGGAGAAAGATGAGATTTTCTGTTCCCGTAAAGATTTACAACCTCAGAAACCCTATACAAGGTTGCTATGAGTTGGAACTGACTCCATGGCACATACATAACCAACCAACCAACCAACCAATGTTATAACGTCAGGTTCCAACTTCTTAGTAAAGCCAAACACCCCATCGTGATTCCGAGGCAGTATCTCAGGCTCCAGGATTCTCACCTAGGTAGAAAGTCTAACAGTGACTTGAGCTCCTCACAGAGGAGCCTAACAAGACCGCTCCTGATGGCATTATAGGAGACGTCAATCATGAAAATGAAGGCGGGTGGGCTGGGGAACTTGTTATTCTGCACAAGAAAAAAATGTTGGGTGGGAGAGGGGTATTGGCAAGGATATCAGCTGACAGGAAAGAAATCAGCACCAAAGGGGTGAAGGGAGGGAAATGATAACAGCAATTTTTAGCTGTCTCATTCACCTCCATCCACTCCTCCTCCCCACTCTGCCTTCCCTCACCTTGCAGTAATCTACAGTGGCCAGGAATTCATAAGAGCCCAGAGACAGCTCGGGACGGTCATAAGCATCCACACGTCTGCCGGTATGATCCAGGTGTTGGAAATACTGGGGGGGTACTGTGGGGAGTATAGCAGTGTGTTACTCAAAGGTCCACTCTCAATCTCAGTTAAGTCTGACCCTGGCTGAGCTCACTCTATTGCCTCCACTTCCCACATGTGTCCTACTTCCCCAACTCCTGAAAAATGGACCCTTACCTATCTAACTCAAAAGAGAACAGTGCAGCTATATTAAAGGCCTCCCCTCACCTATTGAACCCCAGCCTCCTTGAACATACCATCATTGATACAGCTGCAGAAGCAGCACTGGAAACGTCTCCCTCCCTCGATGAACTGCATAAAGGGGCACATGTACGCTTTGCAGCGGTTGCAGCGCAAAGGGCCTGACTCGCCATGGTCCACAACATATGGTGAAGCCTACGAAGCAAAGAGAGGGGCTCAAACATGAAGAGAAAGCTATGGTGGACTCAAACACATGGCAAAAGATAAGGACAAACAGCCTGCAGAGAAAGGGGCTCAGATATTTTGCCTTAGAGAGTGCCATGGCAGAGGGGACAGGAGGGCACTGGTCCCAGGAAAATGTCCCTAAGAGTCCAAATTCTGTAACTCCCTCTTCCTAACCCCTACACAAACTGCAATTCTACTTAAAGGAGGAACTATGAAACTGACCATACCACTGCAGGGGCTGCCATGGACATATGATGTAAAAGCCAAAGATGACTAAGATTCTTATTTCAGGCCCTATCTCTGATTCCCTGTACTCTTTTTGTTGTTGTTGTTGTTTTATTGTGAATTATGTGTTAGTTTACAAGGGAGAACATTAGCTTTACATTCATCCTATCTTACATCGTTTTACTGCCATGGTTACAATTCCCTCCATGCATCATCAACCAACTAACCCTGCAAGCCTGCCCCCTAGTCGTCCACACACAGCCCCTCTCCCTCTCTGGGTCTAGAGTCCCCGGCCGCTCCATCTCTCCACGTCATCTTCTCTGCCTCCAATTCTGGCATCACTGCTTCTCTAGGTAGGGTTCTGCACTCTGCTCTTTTCCCTTGATGGTCCCAGGGACCTCCGCTACTAGACTGCAAAGTCAATCATTCCTCTCATTTTGCTACAAAGCGTCTACCTTTTTAATTTCCAACCCTCACAGTCAGTCCTGCTAACAATTATTCACTATTGTGTCACAAGAGACCTATCCTCATCTGCTGTCATCAGGCTCGCTCAGATTGGATACTACTCAGTGGAGAGTCTACCTTCCTCTGCGCCCTCTGGATCTAGGCTCCCTCTTGAAAGCTTGTAAGCCAGTCACTTCTTGCCTTTGTAGCCCCTCTCCCCCATTTTGGGTAGCCAATGTCCAAGTTGCCCATCCCTGTCTACTCTGTGTAGGGACGGGGTGGGAATGATCCTTGCTGTAAAAATTTGTTCCCTCTTTGAGCTACTGCATCCACAGGTGTAGGTCAAATTCATCAAATTGTATCAGATTACAATTTTTTTCCTCTTCTTTCTTCTTCTAGTTGAGCTCTGTTCATCCAACCATTGAAGCCAGGTCAAGTGGGTATTATCTGCAACTGTGGGTGTACATACGCATGTGCCCTCTCTCCTTTTCAGCTGGATACTTCACTCTCCACTCTAGTCCTCTGTGGCTATGTCAATGACTCTGGGCCCAGGAGTCCCCAGGTCTTGCCACACTGCTGGCCGACCAGGTCTCCACCCAGGTTCACAGGAGTCTATTGAACGCTGTAGGGTTTAGCTTGCAGCTTCATTGCTGTTTTTCCCTTCCCTGCACTCTTGCCCTAGGGATTTGACCTCCTGCTTCCTATGCTAACCAATTGTCTTCCCTCATCCATGGGTTTCTGTGGTACCTACTGATGCCCCAGGTAGATAAGTAGCCAAGTGTCCAACCGTCCCCACTGAGATCCAGTGAGAGAAAATACAAAGCGAAAGAGAACAAAGCAGGATGCAATGTGAACCTTGAACTTTCTATTACAAAGAGGCCCATGTGAAGTTGGACAAGCTAGGTATGAACAGGACCTATAGCCTAGTTCTCTTTTCATGCCGATTTTAGGTACTGGGGTGAGATGAAAAGGGGACTACTAGATTCTCATCTTTGGGTTTTTGTTTTTTTCTTATATGGTATTCTAACCTCCATAACCCGCCTGGGGTACCATATAAGAAAAAAAGAGAGTTTATTTCTAATCATCCAGAGATTGATGATCATGCTATGAGAAGCTCCTACACACTAACTGCCTCCTCCCCTAGTTTGGCCCCTGCTTCCTTCCACCCAGCAATTCCTCTGGCTTTTGCGTTCATCTCTGTTTTATATCGTTTGATTATTTCCTCTAGAGATGAAATGCCCTGGGACATAAAACTACTGAAGATACTCTCCCTTCCTGCCTACCTAAGATGTCTTCCACTGTGACAGCCAGAATCACATCCTGAAAGAAGTCTTACTTTATTCCCTCTCCTTCCTTCCCTTCTAGCATATTCTAGCCCTTCCCAGACTTACCTCTTCTGGGGGCAGCCTTGCCAGAGGCTTGATGACAGCTGCCAGGGGCACCTGAGCCTGCTTAGCTACATCAGATGTGCAAGGGATATTATAGGATGTGCATCGGATATATCGGGGACTTGCATTCCCTGAAGGAGAAGGTAGAAGACCTGAGTCAGATGACAGAATCCTCTATAGACACTAGCCCTCCACTGCTGACCCACTCTATCACTCGCACAAATGCTGGAGACCTATGGAGAACTAGTCTCTGGTTGAAGACTGACTAAAATCATTGACAAGCTGATAATCTTGTTGTAAAAGTCTCCATAGTAGAAGCAGGTGCCCTTCTTACCTTGGTCTTTCACCAGAAAGTTGGTGGTGACTAAAGGTGGCACCTGACCCCGTACGTCAGTAACAAATGGCTCTGAACCCCGATTGTTTCGGTCATCCTCAATGACCTGAATCTGTAGGGAAAAAAGTGAAGTAAGTGAGGTGACAGAAGAAAAGGAAGTGCATGGTCCCAGAAGAAAGACAGACTGGAGCTGCAGCACAGAGACTAATAATTTGCCAAGGGACACCTCATGCACCAGGCCCATTTTCCTCTCGGAGACCATATCAAATGCTACCAGGCTAATCTTCCACTTGAGAACCAATGGTCAAATGCTGGGCAGGATGGACGGCTTTATGAACTGCCCCACAGCCTCCCCATCAGTGGGATCACCTTCTCATTGCCCCCCACTCCAGGACAGCTCCAGCTCTAATCACAAACTTTCAAACCTGAGCATGTTCCATTCTCCTCCCCCTCTTCTTCCAAAGACACATTCTGAGCCAGTGCAAGAAAACAGACAACAGTAACCATGTAAAAATGAATTCACCAGGAACAACTCTACACTCAATGGAAGTATAAGGGAGAAAAGGTGAGGAGAGGATTAAAAAAAGCCAGAAATGAACAAATCAGGTGAAGAAGATGCTGCCTTACTTTCAGGTAAGCATCTGTGTGTGTGCATGTAAGGAAAGGGTAAGTACCCAATCCTTATAGCTCAAATCCTCAGTGAAGATAAATCTTGACATACCCAGTGAAGGAAAGAAAAAAGTATTTGTAAAGATGGTATGCAAACCCTTGTACAGGCTGGTGACTTTGGGTCAGTTACTTACTTCTAGATGGGTTTAGTCAAACCAGAGAAAGTAAAGGGAGAATACTCCATATCTCATAGCAGAAAGGGTTGAAACTTAGAAATACAGAGTCAAAAAAGTGGCGCACATTTTCCCAAACTAGCCGTCCCTTCTCCTGTAGGAAATGCCCATCTGGGGTACCATGAAACATGTTCATTAGTAGCTGTTTACCCAAATGTTTTTACAACAAACTGGGCAAATCAAACCCAAAGTGGAAGGCTATAATTGTTCAACTTTGTCCTATTCCATCACAAGTCACTTGCAGGCTTCTGGAAGAGCCAGAGTCACCAAAACCAAAGTTTGACATGCTGCCCCTGCCTTTAGAACTTGGTGTTCTACCACCCCATACTTCAACCACTGCCGACAGCATGCTACCTCTTCATTACACGGTGGCTTGAGACATGCGCATCCTCCTAGCTTGTAAAAGCATGTGTCCAGAAGGGCAAAGGAAAGAGGATGGAGAAGGATGGACATGGCAGATGAGGTAGAGATGAGGTTACAGGCATGCATGGATGACCACTACCACAGGGATGACACAACGCACGCACGCACGCACACACACACACCCACCCCCTGCACTTACGGGACTAGGAATGGCATCAGGATCTATTCTGTGCCTGGTTTTCTGCTGAGGAGGCAGCTCATTGAGTTGCTTTTAGTGTTTTAATATAAAGGCAGCAGGGAATACAGGGAGGGAGACAAAAGAACAAGAAGCAGATGTTACTTCTCTCGGCCCTGATGGATTAGACAAGAACAGCTAGAGCCCAGCTCAAACTGCTGACAGGCCCCTCTACATCTGAAACTCCAAGTTTTTATGGCCCAGCACAGAGGCTTTGATGGCTCAGACGAGGATGTAGAAAGATAAGGAAAGAGAGCAAACAGGAAACAAGCAGGGATTATATAGAAAGTGGCTGAAATGGAAAAGTCTTATAGAGACAGTAAAGGATGTTCCCTTTAAAAGGTCCAATTTCCCACCCTCTGCTGAAAGAGGCCTCCTCTCACTTCTAACCAGATTCTCCTCACTGAAGGAAAAGGAAAGGAAGGCAGGCTGCCTTCCCATGGTAGATCCCCATAGGAAGAGGGAAGAGAACAGAATGGAATATGACAATGGCTAAGCATGGTGAAGCAACTGACATAACAAATGTTGCAGACAAAACTACACAGTAATCCCCACTTAGGAGTACCTGGTATAGTGCTACAGGATAAACACTGGACTGCTAACCATAAGCTAACCGCAAGGCTGGTGGTTTAAACCCACCAGCCACTCCTCGGAAACCCTATACAGGATCACTATGAGTCAGAACCTGACTCAAGGGCACTTACCACCACCACCACCACCACTTAGGAGTATAGCCCCACCTCTACTCTGAGTAGGATAAGGAGTATCTAAGGACTCTGATGGTTTTAAGAGTGAGCTTCACCTTCTTTCTGGGAGAAGGAGCTTCCCCACAGGGCTTTTACACACACACTGCCCGCAAACTGTAAATCACTTCCTCATCCACACAGCAGGAGGGTAGCAACCAAAAGTTATGGGGACTACCTCCTGAAATACAGCTCAAGGAGGGGCAGAGATAAACTAGTGAGGTTCCTTTTCTTAACTCCTTATAGAAGAGAATTTCTGCCTGCTTTCTTCATTAGGAAGAATGCTATCCTATTAGGTCCAGGAGGGACAAGACCTGGATCCACCACTACCTAGGAGGGCAGAGGTTACCATGATGTGTCCAATAGTGACAGAATACAGCATTTAACCCCGAGCCCTGACAATGGTGATCGCTCTTGGCTTCCCTTCCTTCCCTGCCCAGCTATGGAGTAAAGCAGTTTCCAAAAGACTTCAGTTCAAAGAGTCAACAATTACATTTAGGTTCTATGCCTATAAGAAGATGAATGAAAAGAGAAAATAATCAGCAAGTGCTAAGCAAACGTCTCATGTGGGTGGACTGTTCATCTGACAGACACAAACCCCTTCCCCAGAACCACTGAAGTATCTACTTACAGGGCTTGGGATGGCATCAGGATCCAGACGCTTAGGAGGCAAGGACTGGGGAGGCCCGGGCTGACTGCCAAAGGTGGGTGCTCCAGGGTAGGGACTTCCATAGTTGGGCTGAGGGCCTCGAACTGGTCCAAAGGAACCTGAGTGACAAGGGCACAGGTTGATGAATTCAAAATCCTTTCCCTGTCCCCTCTTAAGGCCTCAGGGAAATGACTCAACTCCTGTACCTCAGTGAAGCCAGTTCAGAGAAAGGCCACAATCTCTGAAGCTTTATTAAATCCATATCCCAAGAGTAACAATACCCTGAAGCTATCAGTCTCGTTTACCACTTAGCAAGTAATTCTAAAAAACAAACAACATAGGAGTAACTGTACCCTCTGGCTCCTAGCTGAACAAACCCTGGGAAAGACTCACCATTTTGTTGCAGCTGATAGCCTGCCTGGGAGGGGTGCACTGATGGTGGTGGTCCTGGGGGCCCAGTCATCTGGGTGCCAGGAGGCAGAGCTTGAGGAGGAGTTGAAGACACATGGTTGGGCTGGCTCACAGGGGGCCCCCCAAAACCTTGACCAGGCAGGAGGGGACCAGTCATTGAAGGCATCCGAGGACCTCCTGAAGCTGGAGATGTGAAGCTGGAAGCCTGAGGTGGGGCAGACCGCTGGGAAGGCTGAGTCCCAGGATGACCCTGGGCCAGGTTAAGGGGAGGAGCCTGGCCCTGAGGATAGGAGCCGTACAGACCAGAGTTAGGGAAACTTCCTGATGTTGGTGGGCCTGAGAAGTAGAAGAGACAGAGACAGAATCCCAGTCACTCTGCCTCTTGGTTCTGTAAATCACTTCCCCTTCCATACAGAGGGGCACTTGACTATCCCATTCTCCGGAGCTCTGAGGCACAGGAAATAAAAGGGATTCAGGTGTATCCCCCAGACCCTAATGCCTCTGAAAAAAAAGGGGACCATAACATTCCCGTGGTCAGTACTCACCATAGTCCAGTCCTGTCTGGGGAGGAGCTGGGGCCGCAGCACCACTGATCTGCATTCCTGCCAGCTGAGTGGTCACCTGTGTACTCGTCGGGGGAGGACCATAGGGTTGAAGCACAGTTGGCTGGCTGACCACAGGGGCCAACGGGGCTGGCCCAAATGGCTGAGGACCAGGGTGCCTGTGAAGAGAAGGAAAGCAAAGGTGACTACTGGGCCAGGGCACCTGAAAAGTTGGCAGGAGTGCTATATCTTCAAGATGCCTTAATGTTTTATCTTGAATTCCCATTCTAGACTCTGTTATGGCTTCATACATTTGTATATTTGTGGGTAAATAAAATTCTTGATTATCTACACTTTGATTATTCAAGGCAAATATTATTTTTACTCTAAAAACATGCCAAGCACCCTTGAATCAAACAGTATTTACTCTACTAGATAAATGATCAATTTTGGTGGTGCAGTGGTTAGGTGCTCAGTTGCTAATCAAGAAGTTGGCAGACTGAACCCAGCAGCCACTTCCTGGGAAAGAGATGTGACGGTCTGCTTCTAAAAAGCTTGGTTGGTTATGTGCCTTGGGAGTCGATTCTGACTCAGCGACCCTGCACAGGGTTTCCAAGGCTGCAAATCTTTACGGGAGCAGAAAGGCTCATCTTTCTCCCATGGACCAGCTGGTATTTCGGACTGCTGACCTTGAGGTTAGCAGCCCAACTTGTATAGCCACTATGCTGCCGGAGCTCCTTCCATGAAGATTACAGCCTTGGAAACCCTAGGAAGCAGTACTACTCTGTCTTACAAGGTTCACGATAACCCAGAATCACCTGATGGCAACAGTGGGGATTTTTTTGGCCTCGATCCTCAAGTAGTTTGTTGACAAACTACTTCAGTTTTTAAGCTGAAATCCTAGAGGAGTTGAAGGGAAAATGCACACAGCATACATGGAACAGGCACTTAATAGAAGTGAAGCAATCATATGCAGTTTGACTGTTTCACTTTTAAACCAAAGTATTTGTCCTAGGAAAAGTGTCAGAAAAAATCTACAAGCTCAGAGGAGCAGGTCGGCTAAGTGTGGTATTCTGTACCAATGTGAGAAATTACTGTATCTAACGCTACTGGTGTTGTTAAATGCCATCAAGTCAGTTCCAACTCACAGCAACCCGTTATGTTGTTGTTGTTAAGTACCGTGGAGTCGATTCCGACCCACAATGACCCTGCATAGGGTTTACGAGGCTATAAATCTTTATTGGAGCAGAAAGCCTCATCTTTCTCCTGCGGAGTGGCTGGTAGTTTTGAACTGCTGACCTTAAGGTTTGCAACCCAATTTGTAACCACTACGCTACTAGAGCTCCTTAGCAACCCAGTATAGGGTTTCCAAAGAACAGCTGTCAATTTGAACAGCTGACCTTGTGATTCAAACCAACTTTGCAGTCCTGATCTTTGTCCCACAGTGCTACACCAGGATTCCATCTAACTCTACCAGATAAGGACAAACCTGGTAACCTTCCTGCTGGGGCTATCTACCAAAGCTTTGTTCCTGGATTGCTACAGTGGACCGTCTATAGTATGAGAAATACACTCAAATATGATGCAAAATCATTGCATACTATTTACATACAACAACAATGGTGTCCTAAGGATCTCTGGTAGCATAGTAGTTACGACTCGGGCTGCGAACCTCAAGGTCGGCAGTTTGAAACTACCAGTCATTCGCGGGAGAAAGATAAGGCTTTCTGCTCTCGTAAAGATTTACAGCCTTGGAAATCCTGTGCAGGTTCACTATGAGTCAGAACTGACTCCACTGTACTTAACAACAACAACATTGGTGTCCCATGGTGGTATTACTACAACTTGTTGAACAACCTACAACTTAGGACATGACAAGCTCCTGGGATGGATTTCAGAAGTGAATCAAATTGTTCACAACAGTTGTTGATATTAAGCTGAAACTTCTGATTTGTCCTTCCTGCTGGGTTTTGTCTTTAACAAAATATATGGTACTTTACTGCATTTGTCTCAGCTCTAATAACCACACACTGTAATATTTTTCATTCCTTCTTTCAACTGGTATTTTTTTGGCATGACACTCTTAGCATTATTCTCTATTAGATCATGAGCTTTATCTCTCCAAGCTCTTGGATGGGCTTTGCATTTTTTGTCATCCACAGCATCCAAACACTGAAACTATGGATTTGTTAGTGATGTCGACCTTGCCAAATCCAATGGCCAACTCTGCTTTCGGAGCACCAAACTCTTCTTTACCATCAACGTTCACTCTTCTGGTGATTTCATCCAGCTCATGGCTTTCAGTAAAGATCTCTATGCTCCTAAATGTACATCTCCAGTTCTGAAAGAATCATCTCTGAGCTACAAATCTGTATATCCAACTACCTACTCAACATCTCAAGGAGTCCTGGTTTGGCACTGGACTGCGAAGTCGCTTTAAACCACAAGACCAACAGTTCAAACCCACCAGCTGCTCGTTAATTCTACAAAGGGTCTCTAAGAGCCGAAAACAACTCCATGGCACTTAACAACAACAACAACAACAACTAAGCATCTTGGATAGCTACTAGAGCTCTTATACCTATAATCAAACTCTTCATTTCACCTCCAAAATCTCCATCTTAAGTATTCCATACTCAGTAAACAGCACCACCATTTACCCAGTTGCTTAAGCCAAGAGGTAAAGTTGTTGTTGTTAATGCTGTCAGGTTAGCTCTGACTCATAGCAACTCTGTACAGGGATTCCAAAAGCAGTTGGTGGTTTTCAACTGCCAACACTGTGGTTAGCAGTCTATTGCTTATCCTACAGTGTCAAGAGATACTTAATTCCACTTTTTCTCTTCACTCACACCTAATTCTATTAACACTACGCTCAAAAATATATCCCGAATCGGACTACTTCTCATCTCTACTACTACCATCCTAAACCAAATCAAGATCATCTCTGACCTGAACTACTTCAGCAGCCTCCTAACAGGATTCCCTACTTCTACTCGTCAATCAACCAAGTGATCTCTCTTATTAAATATGTATCTTTAATTATGAGAGAATGAGGAAAACACATGCAAATAACTTTTTTAAATGTTTTCAGTTATCACACTGGGAAAGTGGTAGTACTGTACTGAGACTGCTATACGTATATAAGGAATAAAATGGATGTTGTGGTGTATTCCAATATTCTAATTTCATCAACCTCTTTATCTCTCTTTGAACATTTTATTGGGGGTCCTTGGGTAAAAGTTTAAAGAGCAAATTTGTTTCCCATTCAACAGTTCAATTCCTCCAATGTAACAGCACTCTTCCCACGTCCTCCCTTGAGTCCCTGTTTCTGTTCATTCATCTTTCCTGCTTTCTGAAATGTATTTTGGGTCTCATACTGTTGATTGTTCTGAGGAGCATGTTCTTTATTAGTGTTAGTGTTAGTGTTCACTTTAGAGGCCTATCCACTCATCATTCTAGAAAACCATGGTTCTCAGTGTGGAAGCAGAGATACAGATGAAAGAGGGGGGAGGGGGAGGGTAGAACACGGGCTTCTAGGATATGCCCTTTGGTTGGAAGAGGATGCATGGAGGGGATTGGAACCATGGCAATGTAATGATATACGATGGAATGAATATGGAACTGAGGTTCTCTCATGTAAACTATCATACAATTCACAATAAAACATTAAAAAAAAAAAAAAAGCAAGGAAACACTCAGTCCTATGGACTAAGGGACCATGTGAATCCCAGCATCCATGATCCTGAGACCAGAAGAACTAGATGGTGCCCAGCTGCCAATGCTTACCACTCTGAAAGAGATCACAAGAGGAGGACCTGGACATAGTGGGAGAAAAACATTAAACAAAACTCATAATCATACAACAGGTCAGGCTTATTGATCTGCCAGACACTAGTAAAACTCTCAAGACTATGACCCTTCGACACCGTTCAAGCCAGGAACTAACCCCCATGACTCAACTTTCAACCAAATGACAGACAGGCCAAACGGGCAGCAACAACAGGCTGGCATGTACTCATCAGAATCATCCACCATATGAGATCAAAAAGGCAGCATTTGCCCAGGGATCAAGCTCAGAAGGTAGAAAGGGATGGGCAAGGAGGAGGAAGGGAAATGGTAAACACAGGGTGGAAGTGGGAAGAGTGCTGTTAACACTGTGAGATTGCAATCAACATCACAAAACTATATGCATAGGAATTGTTGAATGGAAAATGATTTGCTCTGTAAACTTTCATCAAAATCACAATTAAAAAAACAAAAAACAAGACTAACATTTATGGGGCTTTATGGAAAAAAGGAATGAAATGAGAAAGGAATTTTTCCAGGAACTTTTTGAAGCTCCCTCATATAGTAGCAATGAGCATATCTAGCACCCAAATTATAGTCTTGAAATAAAAAACTAAAAAATTTACGGATTTCTTGGAGAAATGGCTAATTTTATTTAGGCCTATGGCAAAAAATGCATGAGTCTGGAAAAGGAATTTACACATAAAATAGTTATGAATATATAAAGATTTACACCCTCGGAAACCCTATACAGGGTCGCTATGGGTCGGAACCGACTCGATGGCACATAACAACAACAACAACAACATATAAAGCAGTACCCAGAATATATGAAGAGCTCCTACTGATTAATAAGAAAAGATAAGCCAGTTGAAAAAATAGTGAACAAAAAACTAGAATACACAATTAATAAAAGTAGAGATACAGATAGTGAGGGATCATATTACAAAGCTGCACAACCTCATAACTAATCAGAAAGTACAAATTTAAATGATCATGCATAAAGACTACTTCATGTCAAAAGGAATCAGGGCTCAATGTGAAGAGGCTCCCACTGGTCAAAGACAAGACACTTAGAAATCTGGATTGAAACCCATCAAATATTTAAATCCAAACATTCATAGTATTGAAAAGAAGACTTGGTCACCTGAAGGTGACAAAGGACCAATGCACTCCCTTAAAAACTGGTAAAGAATCAAGCATTTACCCCACATCTCCTATCTGAATGGTACACAGGAAAACTGTCTCCTGTTTTGTTACAAAGGTATTCAAACTAATTAAAGAAAAAGACACAAAAGAATTAAGAGTACAATCACTTTGTAAGCTCTCCTATGTGGTCATTAAAGCATTGATTGCTAATATCACAGACAATAAAGTTATTTATGAGCCTCTTACTGTTTTGGCTCACACTATCCATAATCTTGTAAAGAAATTGAACCTAAGTCTGATTCATTCTCTGTATCCAGTTGCCAGTTTGTAGAAAATACAGATGACAGGGGAACGTGTTAGTTCTAGTTTCTTTTTTCTAACTCTTGACTAGGTTGTAGTTAAAGGGAGTTCACTTTATAATTTACTAAGCCATGGGCTGAAGCCCATGAGGATGGCACAGGACCAGGCAGTGTTTCGCTTTGTTGTGCATAGGGTCGCTATGAGTCAGAACTAACTCAACAGCACCTGACATCAACATTTGTTTTTTTGGTATGTGTTTTATATTACATTGAAAAGACTGATCAATCAATTAAATGAAAGAATGAATGAACAAATGGAACCATGTAACTCCCTAGCTTAAAACTTTCCAATGGCTTCTCAAGAGTTTTACTGCTGCTAATATCCAATTTAAACTTTTTATTATGGCTTATAAAGAAAGCACTGTGTGATATGATCTCTGGTTATGGTTCTACCTCTCCTCTCTGCTCTAGTCACACTGGTCTTCTTGCTTTTCCTCACACCCTTCACATTAACCTCTGCCTCCAGGCCTCTGCACTTGCTGTTCCTTCTACCTAAGACACTCTTCTCTCAGATCTTTGCCTGGCTTGCTTCATCACTTCTCTGAGGCTTCCATGACCAGCATGCGTAAAACAGCTCTCTACCTCGTCACCAGTTATTCTTTAGATCTCCACGGTTTCATAGATGTCTGCTCACTATCTTGTGTCCAAGACTAGACTGTAAACTTCATGAAGGCAGAGACTTAGTTTCAGATTTAATGCTTTATTCCCAATCTCTAGAAAAATGGTCAGCACACAATAGTGCAAAATAAGTATTTTTTGAGCAAATGAGTAAGTGAATTACCTATACTACTTCTCACAGTTTCCTAATGCACAGGGTAGAGAGAGCTTTCCAAGTTTATATTCACTACTCAAAATGCATAATCCTGGACACTCAATAGAAAGTGACTCTTCTATTACCGCACCCTCCACCTACAGTTATAGTTTATTATTGGCTTAATAAGAAAAAAACATCAAACCCACAACATGCCTACAGAGATGGCTACCCTCCTTTAATGGACATCCGTGCATGACAAAAGTTACTTGAGCCATAAATGATGAAAATGTAAGTTGTCATCATTGATGTCGTGTTCCTTTGGGTATCTTTCCTCTCATACCTGGCCTTGCCTAAACTTAACCCCTCTAAAGAGAAGGGAAAGCCAGAAAAGACAAATATTCCAAGGGTGTCCTTTTGCTGTTGTGCCTTTAAGGTAGGTTCAACAGGAGCCACAACAACCAGTGAAGATGTACGCCTAGTCAAGGAAAAGAACCTCCAGTTCACAGACAGAACATATAAACCCCACACACTAAACTGGGTCAATAAAAAGCAGAAGCAAGCTGGACATCAGCAGCAACTGTGACTTTCAACCCAGAAAGTAGGGGGACAGGGGAGACAGAGAATATAGACAGGAAAGACCTATGGTTATGGCCAAGGCAACGAAAAAGGAGACGAGGAAACAGACTCACACATTCTTAATCCTCCAGCTTCATCAGACCAATTTAATGTAACCCAAGTACATACCTCTGCATCTGAACAGTAGAGCTTGGCCCATTCTGCACATCTCCCTGGCCAAAATGGCTGTACGTGGCGTGGCCACCGGGGGTCTGTGCTGTTGAGGCTGGCGGTACCCCTGAGGAAGGTGGGGCTCTCGACATACCTGATGGTAAAGGACAAAAACTAAGTGATTGGGAAATAATTTTCTTCTCCATCTGAGTCAGGAATGCACAGTCCCGGCCCCTCGATTTCCTGACAAGCCAGGTGACAAACTCATCAGCCCTTGAACAAGAGGAGGCTAGGTCCCTTTGAAAAAAATACCCACTATACTTCCAAAAATCTATACTGTTAATCAGTCTTCTCCCAAAGTGATCTATGGCTTTTTTTTCAGGGTGACCATGCATGGGGAGAAAAAACAATCAGACTTTTTGGGGACTACTGGACCCAACTCTCAAGTGACACTAATCCCAGGAGACCCAAAACCTCACTGTGGTCCATCAATCAGATTTATGGAGGTCAGGTGATCGATAAGAGTTTTATCTCAAGTCCATCTCACAGTGAATACAATGGGTCCCCGAACTCATCCTGTGGTTATTTCCCCTCGTCTAGAATACATAGTTAGAATAACCCTACTCAGTAGTTGACAAACCTTCACTGGCCCAATACCATAGCATGGTAGTAAAATGACACCATCAACATGCAAGCAATAGTACCGGAAGCCCAGTCAGAAATCCTCTACCGTCCAAGACAGGTGTACTCGGAGTGAAACTATAGCCTAGGTACAAGAATGTAGGGCCTTCCTATAATCACCCTCCCACACAACACAAGACAACCTAATGATCCTAAACTAGACATATGTCAGTTCTGTGGGGAAACTATTCTGTCCCCTTCTTCATATTGCTGTAATTGCTAAGTGCCATTGAGTTGGTTCCAACTCATAGTGACCCTGTACAGGGTTTCCAAGGAGCAGCTGGTGGGTTTGAACTCCAACCTTGCAGTTAGTAGGCTAGTACTTCTCCTATAGCACCTCACCAGGACTCCATGGGTGTGCATATATCTACTCTGTGATGGCTCTATTTCCTAGGATATATACCACGTTGATTGCTCCTGTGATATTTTTATTTCCAATTTTTAAGGAAAGCACCAAACAGATTTCCACACTGGTAATATATCATTTAATGTTCCCATCAATGTAGGAGGGTTCCAGTCTCTCCACACTCTTGCCAGCATTTGTTGTTTTCTGAGCTTTGCTGTTAATGCTGGGGTGAGATAATGTATCTTTCTTTATACATTCTACTTATTCTAATCATATCCACTTCACCCACCTCACCAGCAGCCTTTACCATAGGCTGGAGACTCTGTAACTGCTCTAGAGCTCAGTCAGGACCTGTGCCTACTCTATTTGTGTTACCATCTGTTTCCTCCCAAAAGCTGTACTCAAGCCTTTCCATTCATCAGAGTTCCCTTCTAGCTACATCCACCCAAAGCATCCTTCCGGCATACTACCCCTAACCATTCTTCTCACATGACATACTAGCACTCGTGGAATAACATGACTAGCTATTTCACACCATCACTTTTGAAATGCTGCTGACCTTTGTTCTTTGCCTACCCTAAAATATTTTCAGTTTTAACCAACCTCCTCATCTGGAAATATCTCTTCATATCAGACCTATATCCTATCCTTTACACGTTCACACAAAGCACCCTGTAGAAATAGACACTACAGGTCCTGCTTCCTGGAGCATGATTAATCTGAGCATGCTTACTAGCCAAGATTATGTTTTCCTCTCAATAACAAAGCTGCCACTTGAGGTAATGCCAAACTCCATCTTGATAAGCCAGGACTTCAGAGAGCAAAAGTGGACTCTGTCCAGCCAAAGTCCCATCCCATTTCTAATGACAAAAGACCTAATTTCACTATCTCATGAATAATTTTTCCAAAGCTACAATCAAAATAGTAATATTTTCTACATTTCCCAAATCTTACCCATGCTTCCTTAGTATCTGGTTTTGCCCATATTCCTTTAAGGAATTTACTCTCTTAAAAACATAAAGACTTCAGTGTATCCTATGTCCTCAATGACCCTAACTCCAGAGCTATTTTTCCAAGAAGCCCTTCTGAATAATCTGTAGCTGCCCTTCTTGAAGAAGCAATACAAAAGCCAAACAAGGACCCTGAGGTAGCACCGGATGAGTCTTCTTCTACTGCCCTGATGTTACAGGGCATCTAAGAACTAGAGTAAGCTCAAGCAAAGGAAAAAGGAATGTTAGCAGAAAGATATGAGAGACATCAAAAAATATGAGAGAAACATATACTACACTCTTCCTCCATGAACAAGCTCCTTATGTCCCAGTCATTTATAAAACCATCTGTCCATTGAAAGGCATTTTCAATATACAAGAGGAACAAGTGAGTTTGGGAAAAACTTAGGAAAGTATGGAATATTCAATCCTGGCCACAGTCTCTGGAGGAGCTGAGATTACAACCCATCCTTCCAGCTTTGAACACTGCTCTCAGATGAGGCTACATCTCAGGGTAATACCCACAGGAAGTGAGTTGTTGCCACTGTATCAGTAAGATATATTTCCAAGAGATGTACTGGTATGGCATTGTAGGATTATTACTGTACCGCAAAGTTGGTTTGAACTGCAAGGTTGGTAGTGAAAACTCACCAGCTGCTCCCTGGAAACCTTATACTGGGTCGCTGTCTGTCAGAACCAACTCGACAGCATTTAACAACAAAAGGTGTCTTAAATTTGAAAAAGCAACAGTCATCTTATGGTGAAAACAGGGAAGGGGAGACTACCCACAGGAATCTCTGTGACCAAAACTGAGACTCGTTTTCCTCAATTTCACTTGCCACAACTCTTCAGGCAGTGTAGTTAGTGCAATACAACCTAAATTGAACACTTCTGATTCCCTTCCATAGCTCAAAGGAAATTCAAAACTACCTACCTGGGGGAGGTGTTTGCTGATATCCTGGTACTGGGCCATTGTAGGAGGGTCCATAGGAGGCAGGGGGGACTGTGGACCCTGGTTGTCCACCATAGCTGGCTGGATGATATCCTGGGTAGGCAGGCTGGGGCTGCCCATACGGCAGCGTGGGAGGAGCTGACTGGTTGATGTTCATTATGAGAGCATCCCCAATTCAGTGTCACCTATTAGGTGAAGGAGAAGAAAGAAATCAGTCAAAATCCCTTTTCTAAAAGGAAAGCAAACATTTAGGGTAAGAAGTAAAAGATAAAAGAGATCAATTTCACCAGGAAGAGATTAGTATAATCATTATGGAATCCCACACTATGGGACTTTGGTAATTTTATGCCCCAGCGAGTATCCAGATTACCTCCTCAGAGCAAGAATTTTGTTACTCTGAACCCCATGCTTTGTAAATACCTAGAGGGTATAAATGTCAATTTCAGCAGCAGCCTCCATTCCCCAGTGCTATGATTTCTAGTGTATAGCCACACAAGGAGTCCTGGGGCTGATGAACTACTGTAATATGACAGGTAAACGAACCAAGACTCTGCTTTCCATTCACTGGAGTATCCTTTATTCCACAAACACCAAGTACCCTATAGTGTGTCAGTCTTTTGTAAACACCACACTACAAATCAAAAACAGATCAGTGTAATTCCATTCCCTTCAAAAGAAATTTTAAAGTAACAATTGGAGAAATTACATTCTTAGGCTAAACTGTAACAATTCAAATGCTACTGAATTCCTAGTTTCCCCATTAAGACTGTATGGACCTTACAACTGAAGCATTAAATTTCCTAAATGTAAAGGACCTCTAAAAACTAAAGCAAGGTACATGATTGGAGCAAAGTGCAGGCCAGACATAAAACCTTATTCACAATAGCCCATAGTATAAGTGGCCAAGTTATATGTCATCAAAAGACCATCCATTTTTTCCTTCCAGCAGTTGCTGCTAGCTACCAACTAGTTGCAGGCACTCATAGCAACCCGGTGCACAATGGATGAGATGCTGCATGGGGCACTTTCCCAACAGTTTCTGCTCTTCTAACAGGCTTGTCATGTATCTAGGCCACTTCCAGAATTACTAGTCTTGCCCAGAGACACAGGAATGAATGAGAGAGCTTTACTAGGGTCCTTCCAAGAGGTCTGTCTAGTGACATTTAATCTAAACACTCTTACCTCTTTCAACTATCCCACAGACAACAGGGGCCAAAGATGCAGGAGAGCTCAGAGCTAACGTAGTGGAATAATGAACCTCTCCCCTTTGCCAGAAAAAGTCATCTTAACCATAGAAAAGCTGAATTGCTCCTTGGGAAGGTTGTCTTAATTCAAAACCATCTCAAGATCTGTTCTTCCAAATTCTGAACTTTGCACAGGTCACTGACACTAAGCTTGGCAGATGCTCACCAAATTCAGCGGAGAGGGGAAGAGAAAGGGAGGTAGCGAAGCTGGGGTAGGGCACAGGCTTTCAACAAACCAACTCCTTCCTACTTCTTCTGTTCAAACACACCCAAGCGTTTAGCATCAAGCTCAAGTCTCGCCTCCATTTGAAACCCATCGAGTGTGACAACCCAGGGGGCGGGGCTGGCTTCCTAGAACTCTGGAAGTAGTCGAACTGCGAATGTGGAAGCTGGGAGCGCTGGAGACCAATACCAAGGGATCAAGCCAGCTTCTTGGGCCACGATCAGAGAGAACACTGGTCCATTAAACCTAGTGACCGAGCGTCCTGCGCCCTTCAACAAGCTGGGGGCAGGAAGCGCGAGCCGGAATCTGGGCCGGGAGGCGAAAGGAGTCTATAGCTGATCCTGGGTTGTGGATGCATGAGGTTAAGGGTCTCTCCCCAGGTGCCACCCCGGACTCCTCCCTTCTTATCAGACAGGCCTCAGATCGGGTCTCTCTTCTGTTTTCCTGTACACCAACCTCCCGATGCCACTCCTCACCCGGCTCCAGATCCAGGTTCGACTTCGTTCCTAACGTCAAGACTCCCAGGATCCACTTCCGGTTCCGAGGGGGCTGTCGCGTCGTTCCCGGAAGTTCCGCCCCCACACTGGAGAGCCGGGCCGCTCCTTCTGCCACGTCTACACTAGGTACGCGCTCAGGAACCCGGTTGCCGCGCACGCGCCCTCTTCCCATTATGGCTGCTACTTAGACCACAGATTCGTATTCATTTCTGCTTTTTTTTTTTTTCCAGATATTATAGTCATTTTATGGCCCCACCGGTTGAATTGAGGCTGGATGGGACTATCCTTAGGGACGCCCCATCTATCCGCCTGTGGCGTATTAGTTACTTATGATATTGTGTTCTGCAAGCACTTCCTATTGATCCCTGACCCCTGACCTCTGATTTCCGTCTTCGAGGTGGTGTTCACCCATGACCTTTGCTGGTTTTAAGATTTTTTAAATGTGTGCGAGTCCTGGTGTGGCGCCGTGGAATAAAGCACTGGACCCCAAGGTCGGTTTCATTCACGAAGTCGGTAGTTCAAACTCGCCAGCCGCTCCCTGGAAACCCTACACAAGGTAGCTATGAGTTGGAACCTGCACTTAACATCAACAACATGCTGCTTTCAGGCTGCATGTGTTCGAATTTCAGTCCTGCAATTCGCAAGCTTTGGCAGTTTACTTAATCTCTCCCTCAGTTTCCCTCATCTGTAAAACGTAGCTATAACAACAGCAAAAAACTTACTGCCAAGTAATTGATTCCAGCTCATTGTGACCTTACAGCTATTTGTTCAATGATGACTTTTTCAGCATTGTTGTATACCAAGCCATGATACAAGTTCTGTGTAAACAGAACAAAACAAAATCCTTACTCTGATATTGACCCTCGTATTAGTTATTATGAGGCTCATTAAAGGGGGGGAGGGGACCCAAACACTTCACATCTCATCTGTACTGGAAACTATTAGGCATGAATATGCTTTAGTAAACTAGTAGATTGCACTCTAGAGTTTATAGTCAAGATCAACGTTCTCAGAATGTAATCTTGCGAATAAAAACATAAATTTTTGTTAGGTGCCGTGGAGTCGGTTCCGACTCATAGAGATCCTGTATAGGGTTTCTGAGGCTGTAAATCTTTATAGGAGTAGAAAGCTGCATTTTTCTCCCGAGGAACATCAGTACTATCTGAGAACTTGTTAGAAATGTGCATTTCAGATCCATCCTAACTAACCACTACTTCCGACTCCCAGCGATCCTATAGGTCAGAGTCGAACTGCTCTATTGCGTTTCTGGGGCCATAAATCTTTAAAAGTATATTGCTAGATTCAAATCACCTAATGGTTAGCACTCGGGCTGCGAACCGCAAGGTGTGCATTCGAAACTACCAGCTGTTCCGCGGGAGAAAAATGAAGCTTTCTGCTCCCGTAAATATCAGGGTCACTATGAATTGGAACTGACTCAATGGCACATAACAACAACAACGTTTAGCAGCCCAATGGTTAGCCCAGTACACCGCCAGGGTTCCTTTACATTCACCCTAGACACACTGAATGAGAAATTCTGAAGCTGGGCCTCAACAATCTATGGTTTAACCAGCCTGCTATGTAATTCCCTGGTGTGGCACTTAGGGCTATTCCATCAGACTGCAAAGCCATTTGAACTGCAAGGTCGGTGGTTCAAGCTCACCAGCTGCTCCTTGGAAATCCTATACAGGGTCACTACGGGTCAGAATCGACTCGATGGCACTTAACAAAAACAACATGTGATTCTAGAGCCCTGGTGATGCATTGGTTAAAGCACTCAGCTGCTAACCAAAATGTTGGTGGTTTGAACCCACCAGCTGCTCTGTGGAAGAAAGATGAAGCTTTTTTGTTTCCCATAAAAATGACAGATTTGTAAACCCTGTGGGGCAGTTCTACTCTGACCTTTAGTATCGCTAAGTCAAAATCACCTGGACACCAATGATTTGTTTATTCCGTTGCGTGCTGAAGACTGAGAATCACAGGTCTAGATTAATCTTTGCCAAGTTCAGCTAACATTTGTTGAACATCTTCCACAGGCTGAGCCCTCTGCTAAGCATTTTCACATAGTTTGTCCCATTTAACCCTTATTTAAGAATAGGAAAGTAGGTATCCTCCATCTTGCTCAAGGTTGCATCCTTAGTAAGTGGTACAGCCTAGATTCATTGCTTCTTGATGCTAATGTATTATATATTAGTGGTTTCTGTATCCCCCACCCAGTTGTTCTCAATCTTGGCTATGCATAAGAATCATCTATGGCATTTTAAAAGTATCAATACCAGATGCTAATGCTGCTGCTGCTGATATGTGCCATCGGGTCAGTTTCAACTCAGTGACCCTGTATCCCATTTCTGAGTCTTCTGAGGCTGTAAATTTGATCTTTCTCCCCTGGAGTGACTGGTGGATTTGAACTGCTGAACTTTTGGTTAGCAGTCCTACATGCAATCCATTATGCTTCCAGAACTCCTACCAGATACCAGATACCAAACCATTAAAATCAGAAACTCTGGGGCTGAGACCTGGGAATATATCCACATGTTAATTCATGTTTTTAAGTGCCCACGAGTAAGTTTCCACTCATAGGGACCCTGTATAAGGTTTCCAAGGCTGTAATCTTTGCAGGAACAGAAAGTCTCATCTTTTCCCCACAGAGCGACTGGTGGGTTCAAACCACTGACCTCGTGGTTCACAGTCTAGTGCTTATGCTACAGAGCCCACGCACATTAAGGTTACTCTATTATACATTCACAATCATGTAATATCATATGCTTTTTTTATTTTAAGGGCTCAGTAGTTTTAAACAACTCTTCAGTTTATGGAACATAGTCCTGCTCTTACACATTTGTAATAGTCCTTTTTTTTTTTTTAACATTTCCATGAATATATTGATACAAAATAATGGTTGAATAAATTATTAAATGGGATTAACAGGCTATTTTCGATGAAGTGTGATTCCAAATTATTGATATAGATGCTACTTTAGGAGTGGACTATGCATACTGACTTAGTTCCAAAGTGTTCTGTATAGGAATTGGGAAAGGGTTTACTTCACAATGAAGAAAATTGAGAAACACTGCTTCAGACAAAGCTGGTGACAAGTGATAAGACCAATGACAGCTGAACATGTAGTAACTCATGCTACTATGTTGTCTTCATTCCAATAAACTCAGTCTTTGTTTTTTTTTCCCCCTCTCACTATATCCCCCATCTCTGCCTCTATCTCTGGCGTTGCTGCTTCTCTGGATAAGGTCTTGCATTCCACTTATGCTCTTCTCCCTTGATGGTCTTGGGGTCCGTTGTTTCTGGACTATAAAATTAACTACTCCCCTGTTTTTGTTACAAAACTTCTACCTTTACAATTGGTACAGTCGCAATTAGTCATGATAACAATTACTATTGAATCATCAGAATCTTATCCCCATCTTTTTTCACCAGGTCCATCTAGACAAGATGGAACTATTCAGTGAGGACTCTATCTTCCCCCACATACTCTTAAACTAAACACACTCTTGAAGCCTTGTAAGGCAGTCACTTGGTGCCTTTATTGGCCCCTCATTTTAGGTAGCCAATGTCTAAGTTGCCCATCCCTATCTGCCATGTGTACAGAGGAGATAGCATTGATACTTGATATGCAGACTCTTCCCTCTGTTGATATTTAGAGTTACTACCTCCATGAGTATAGGTCAGGTTCATCTAATTGTAGCAATTTACCCTTGTTTCCTTTATCAAAAAAAAAAAATTTTTTTCCCCATCTTCCTGTAGTCAAGTTCTGATTATGAAACCATTGAGGCTAGGTCAAATGGGTACTATCTGCAAGTTTGGGTGTTCTTGGGCATCTCCCCTCACTTCATATCAGCTGCATGCTTCATTCTCAGCTCTAGACCTCTGTGGCTATATCCTTGCCCATGGGCTCAGGTGTCCCCAGATCTCACCACTCTTTGGACCAACCAGCCCTTCCTCTTCTCTCTCTCATCTCCAGGTCAACAGGAGTCTATGGAATATGGTTGAACTCAGCCATTTCTTCATTGCTGCCTTTCCCCCTCTTCCACACCAGTACACCAATGTGATTATCAGCAAGCTTACATGCCTACTCACGTGTTCCCTTTGCGTTTCAGTTTAGAGAGGGTTTAGCAACTGTTTGTTTGTTTTTTTCTTTTTCATATGTACTGGCAGTGCCCCCTTTTGTGAAGCTACAAAATGAAACGTGTTACAGGATCACTGAGTTCTGCATTTGGGTGTTTGAATGGTAACTGTATCTTTGATTTTAAGGGTTTCTCCCTTGATACGTAGGATGACTTGCTGTCTTGATTTACCTAGAACTGAGGTACTTCCTGAGATGTGCAATTTTCTATTTTAAAAGTAGAACAATTTTCTATTTTAAAACTTGGTAAACTCGGATGAATTGGTCATTCTACTAATAACTGAAGGAGCTCTGTTAGCGTAGTGGTTACGAATCAGGCTGCTAATCTCACGGTCAGCAGTTCGAAACTACCAGCTGTTCCGCGGGAGAACGATGAGACTTTCTGTTCCTGTAAAGATTTGCAGCCTCGGAAACCCTGTGCAGGGTCACTATGAGTTGGAACCGATTCCCCCGAACAATTTTCCACCACAAAAATGCACCTGTTTGGCACCGGAGAGAAAGAGAAAGGAATAGCCAGAAATATTACCATAGAAAACTTGTAAGTCCGTCTTCTCATGATTTTGAGTTGTGCCCCATCAGCAAAATGAATTTACTCTTTTTGCGTCTTCATGATCAACTCTGTTTTGAGGAGGCAGCTCTTCCCCAGTTGTATTTTGAGTGTCAATTCAACCTGAGGGGCCCATTTTCTGACAGTATTCTAGTGCTCCCCACCATGTTTCAATATTCAATAT